AACATACTTAAGAAATTGGTTAAAATCTTGAGTAAATGAGGAAATTGAAAATGAACTGATTCTAAAAAGTCTCTGGTTTGTCACTATGCCCACCGTGCGGAAATAGCTGCCATTTTTTATTTTTTTTTTCAATAAGATAGGCAAATTCTGTCACTTACATTTTCAAGCCAACACCTGGGTGCAACTTTTATGTAAGTAAAATTTTTTAATACGGCAAATATTTTTTTTTGCTCCAGACCTTAGCACTTTAGGTAGAAGGTAGCAGAGGTACTTTTCCAAAATCACACTTTTCAGTTTTTTTCAGTGATTTCTTAGAGATACCTAGTAAATGTTTCATTTCTTGACTAGCTTTATACATAATAGATAGTAAAAATCATAGTGACAAACCAGAGATTTTTTGGAATCGGTTCATTTTAAATTCCTCATTTACCCAAGATTTAAACCAATTTCTTATGTATGATGATGCTGGTATCCAGGATACTTTACTGGTCTACTTATAGGACTCAAAACTGAACTTGAGGGAGAGTCTAAAAAAAACTCTCTGCTTTGCCACTATGGTAAAAATGTTGAAGTTTATGCCACTATTTTTAGTTTTGCAATATTTTGATTAGTTTAGCTGCTACAACCTTTTTACGAAATGTCAGAGGCGCGTCCCCATTTACCCTGCCCCTCCCTTTTACCCCGTTTGACGGTACCTAGACTAGAATCTATATTAATCTCATGTTGCTTCATGCATGTCAAAATATCAAATTGATAAAAAAATTGTAAAATAAAGTTTTATTATTGTCATGTAGCACCAACCGGCTTAATTTTTGTAAAAAAGTGTGCTGGATTTCTTTTTATAATTTGATTTGAAGGCTTTGGGGCTAAGTTTGGGCATGCAAGTCCTAGCACACCTCCCAGCCTGAGCACAACTGGGTTTTGGACACTTTACTAGTTTACTTCACTTCTAAATCTCTTTAGCCTACTTTCTAGTTTCTAGTACCTCCACCAGCCAGTGCGGCAGTAAATTATGAAAAGAAAAGGTACAATTAGGCTTGGACGAATGTTTACACTTTACAGCCTGTGCTGGAAGCCTGGATTTAGTATTTTGACGATTGCGACTGCCGCCTTGTCCTGCAGTCCTGCACCAGCACCACCACCACATTACACGTTTGCTGGATAATATGTAAGCAGACTGACTAAAGCAATTGCACAATAGTTACTGAAATAGCATCAAAAAATAATTATCAACTAAAATTACAATCAAAATTTATCATGGAAGAAATATTGCGCTCTTCTCCAGGGACTGGTCACTGGTTGTACAGCGCCAAAGCGGTAGTCCTTATACTTATAGTCCATCATATCCTAGTAGGTTATTAGGCGAATGAGAACTGACCTTGAAATAGAGTTTTTTTTACTTGGATCAAGTTGTCTTTCCACTACGTTAACTTTATTGCAGTTTTCAATTGAAACTGAATTAGAATGTTTAGGTATTCACTATTTGAAGTTCAAAAAAAAAGTTTGCTCGACCGGTTTTCCTTTCTTGTAGTCTAGTACATCGTGACTTTCGTGAGTCAGACGCTTATCTCGTTCGTAACGAGTTTGTTACAATGTTAATAGAATTATTGCGAAATATCGTGCAAATTTTTGTTATTGCGACTTTAAACTTATACTCAATTAATTATTCTGAAAATCGGAATTTTATTGCATAGCTTGTTTTCGTAAATTATAATAAAATGTTAAACGTGAAAGGGAGCCAGTGGAACGTGTCGGACAATTTTACGCCCATAACGTGAATGTCTTTGGGAATAGAGGGAAATGTACTTCAAAGGATCAAAAGTTTTCTAGTATGTAGACGATAACGTGTCAGTATTAATGGAAGATGCTGAAGCGATGAAGCTGCTGTTTGTCCCTGTCTTGCGCCCAAAGTGTTCAAAGAAATGCAACAAGGATATTTCATGCTTGAAAGGCAAGCCTTCCGAAGAAAGATTAAAAATTATGAAGCTTCAAAGCCTGTTATCGACGCCTGCGTGGTAACATCATTGAAGTATACAATTATACTCATGGTTTAAATAAGATCCCAAAAAGATTACTAGAATTTGAAAGAAGAATCAACATCTGGGGCCACGGGTATTAACTAAAAAATGTAACTCAGTACTCACTGCAGTGAGTGACAGAGAGCGCAATTTCTCGTCGGCGAAAACTTGAGGTCACGGACGGACAGACAGACAGACGGACATGGCGAGCACAATAGTGCATTTTTTCTATAAATGAGAAAATGCGCTAAAAACTGCTTAACAACTCACCAACGTGACACCACTTCTCGCTTCGAGTCACCAAAGCGAGAAGTGAAGCAGCCTCCCTAATTACATCGTTGACGCCCCGATTATGCAGGTGTTCATGAGCAGACTAGATAAATTTATGAAGAAATATGTGTTCCGACTTGAAATTCCTAGCACAAAATCGAAGCTGAGGGAAGTCTAGCGGTTAGGACTGATGTGAATGACGGTTAGGACTGATGTGAATGACGGTTAGGACTTAGGACTGATGTGAATGACGGTTAGGACTGATGGGTAGCTATTTCAAACTAATGTCAGTTTAAGTTTTGAAAAGATGCGGTCAAAGGACTTGATTTTAGATATCCTGTGAGGCTGTAAACAAGTCACGAAAAATACAAGAATCTGCTACAGGCCGCATCAGCAGGTCTATTCTTCAGGGCCGACATCATTATGATATGATGCTCTATCTTTATCTGATCACTTAATTATCTTCAGTATATTAAAGCCTGGGTCTCTAAAACACATCAGTAGCTTGCTAATGACGCGAGACTTGCTGCAATGCCATATTAAATACTTCGAGTTAATTAAGAGGCAGAAAAACTCAGAGCTTGGAAGCGCTACTTTGAAATGTAGCGGCCGCTACCGCTACCGCTACATGCTCTAAATGTAGCGGGCGCTACCGCTATCGCTACACCCACTAGATTGTAGCGGGCGATACCTCTACCGCTACACCCACTAGATTGTAGCGGGCGCTACCGCTACCGCTACTGAAAATGTAGCGGCCGCTACATGTAGCGCGCTACTGCCCACCTCTGTCCAGGACATGTGGTGGCAGCTGGCACGGAACAAGAACAAGTGGTAACTGGTAACAACTTAACAGTAACAACTAACATGTTGACACTATTAACAGGCTGAGGTTGACAACATTACACCGAAATATTTCGTACAGTTTTATTCTGTAATTTATATTATGTATGTATCATGCTGGTTTTTAAATAATATATAATACTATTAGGTAAAATCTAAAGGCTTTATCAATAAATGTAGCGGTAGCGCTGTAGCGGCAAAACCTCGTATCGCTACTTAAATATGTAACCACAATTGCTTAAATGTAGCCGCTACCGCTACTGAAAATGTAGCGCGCTACTGCCCACCTTTGTGTACATATACGAATGATCGGGAATAGGGATCATATACTTCGCCCGATAGAATACGAATGATCGGGCGAAGTAAGAACAGATGTGGATGAATGATATGCATTAAGACGAGAGAGCAAGTGACGATGAAACACTGAACATATTATGAACGTATAAGGAAGAGATGAAAATGAAGAGCGAGAGAGAGGGAGGTCCGCTCTCAATTAGTCCAGCATCTGAGGCAGCTAAGCCGTGTGCCACATTATAGCATAACATAATAACATAACATAATGATGTCGGCGCTGAAATGTAGGCCTGATGTGGCCTGTCGCCGATTCTTATCCTTTTCGTGCCTTGTTCATAGATCTAAACTCGTGTCATTTGACCGGATCTTTTCATGACTGGCGATAGTTTGAAGAGTGACCACACAACGTTTCCAAACTCTAGACTCGGGCGTACGACGGCAATAAACAACTGCTTCATCGTTTCTGCATCTAGGAACTCGTATGAGCGTCTGATCTATCTACTAACAAAGTGTAGCGGGCGCTACCGCTACATTGCTTAAATGTAGCCGCTACCGCTACTGAAAATGTAGCTGCCGCTAAATGTAGCGCGCTACTGCCCACCTCTGGGAAAAATACATGTCATTTATTTATGATATATACGCAGTGAGCATTATTTCAAGAACTAAAAAACTAGGGCTTAATCACCTGCAAAAAAGATTTAAATGCCTTTTATTCGAGTTTTCACATCAATACTAATGTTGATAGCTTTCGATTCGTCTGCGTGGGGACCTCATTGAATTATACAAGTATACTCATGGTTTATACAAGGTCCCCGAAGGATTATTAGAATTTGAAACAAGAACCAACACCAGGGACCACGGCTATAAACTAAAAAAACTGCTCTGCAACTTCTCCACGCGACATTTCTTCTCGCTGCGAATCACCGACATGTGGAACAGCCTCCCAGATGACATCGTTGGCGCTCCAAGTATGAACGCGTTCAAGAACAGACTAGATAAAGCTATGGATAAATATATATGTGCAGACTTGAAATGCCTAGCACCATATCGAACCCGGTGAAAGTCTAGGAGCATTTCCAGCTATCGCCAGTCCTGAAAAGACCCGGTCAAATGACACGAATTTAGATCTTCTGCAAATAAGGCACCAAAAGGAAAAAAAATCGGCGACAGGCCACATCAGGCCTTCACTTCAGCGCCGACATCACTGTTATATTATTACACGAACGGACATTTTACATGAAAATTTGGCCATGTCTGGCCTGGAACCAAAGTTTGATGTCGCGACTTTCCACAGCTAGCTTGAGTTGCACTACATAACAGTAACTTATAGCTTCTTTCTTGCAGATCTTAAACATTCGGCCAGCACAGTATAGCAGGAATCAAGTGTCATCAGCTAATATTTTCCATCAGTAGTTTCGCTCGTAATCGCGAGTGTAGATTCGTCTACATAGGACTTTTAAATTTTCAAGCGTTAACGCGACCGTGAGAGTGACGATTGTCGTTTGAATGTCACTTAATAGTTCAAAATACACCAAAAAGCATGTATATATGGATAAATAAACGCTTCATGCAATCATGAACGGTCTTATGAATATATATTTACAGCAAAAGCGCTCATGGTCCAACCAAACTTTAATGGTAAAGCACGCCGTTTTGATTGGACGAGTTGAAAATCCTGTGAAGCGCGCTAACCCCATGAGATATTACAAGGAAACTTTGAAATATTGCCAATAAAGTGGAGAACCACAATTGCAAAAAACAAATTGCAAACATTTAAATAATATTCAAAGATCAATACTTGCGACTATCAAATTTTATGCGGTCTTCTTCAGAACAAATTAGAAAAACTTGTCAGAGCTCAATATTTGTAATCAATATGGAGCAAGTAAGAGGAAATCTAAGTTATAAGCATCCCAATTCCAGGCAATACAGCATGCGTTGATAATCTAATACTCGTTTTGCAACAATATACTGAGAGGCAATATCCTGTTCATTTCAGTAGTTACGTGACAACTGAAAATTGTGTACTGAATAGTAATGTTGAGTGAGTGGTGAGGTATGTCTATATTTTTTTATCAGGCGTGTTATAGAATTTATTAGGAGTAATTAAAACAATTAATAAAATTCTTCCATGGTGTTCAACTTGGGGAGCAAAATTAGTGCCAAATACGCCTCATTATTATGAGAAAGCAAAAAGACAAGTAACTGTGGAGCTCAACCATCGCAGTACAGAATCTGAAGAGTACTGTTTTTCTATTGGGACTCGGGTGCCTCGTAAGGTGTGCCCCACTCAGACCTGGGCCTCATGCCACTGCCTACAGGCCCGTGGCGCCGCTCCCAGATCATGCGGTGCTTCTGCTTCATGTAGCAGGACTGGGCATTCTTGTAGTACCCAAGGTCTCCGTCTGCACATAAAATAATATAATTAACAAAAAATAAAGAATTAAATATAATTAGATAAAAACCTTTGGATGGTAGTCTGACATGAACTGGTGTATGGTGGTCCCGAAATTGCTATAGCAGATTCACTTTATAGACTGTCTCATGTGCTAATATTTGGCAACTGAGACCAATAAAATTGTAAAAAAAATTAAAGCTGAATAATCTTGAATTCAAATCATAACTGCATGGTATAAATTGATTTTTGATGTGGATGTAATAAATATAAATAATGTATAAATCACTTCATAATGCACAGTGTTCATAATAAATAGTGTAACAGAAAAAACATGCAAGACTGACACTTTATGCATCAGTCAGCAATGGCAATCAATAACAGTACAAATATCTCTCATAATATTGACTTCAAAAGTTCAATCACAAATCCTATTGCGCACATATATTCCTGTACAATTTGAAGCTTGCTATATTTGAAGAACATTATGTGCAATGAACTATCATAGCTTATGGAATGCTTTTAAAACAAAAATTTCAGAGTTTATAATTAACAGCCAATTGCATGGAGTATAAATTTAGTTTTACTTATTTTAGTATTGTTTAGCATCTTGAACTGACACTTTGTAAACCAGTCAGCAGCTGCCTTCTCGTATTCCTCCCTGATGGGTGCACATCTCTTAATGCGGTCAGGACCCTCAAAGATGGCACAGTCCTCCTGACGACGTCTCAGGATGGCAAGGATTTGATCATCAACCAACCTTAAACAAAGAGACTGTAAGAAGAGGTTATGATACTTTAGAATGAAGATAACTCAATACATTATCATTTGATAATAATATTCTTATTTTACCTTCAAGCCATACCATTGATTCATTGAAGTATTTAATGCACTCATGATAGCCTACATCTAAATATATTTGGCTTCGAAACCAAGTCTCAGATAAATACGAGTCAATTCAGTATTACTTTCAACATTTAGTCAGACGAGTTCAATGCTCAGGAATACCCTAAAATTCATAATCATTACTTTAGTAGATTGAATTACAGCTTCCACTTTTTGTTTCTAGCTGATGTGTGGTGGCCTATAAAACTTACAACTTACTAATGCAACATTCAAATCCTCCCAGAAGATCCTCATATATACCACAGATTCAGAATGTGTTGAATAACAGAGTTAAGAAATGTTAGAGGTTATTCCAAAGGTTACTTGTCTCTTTTGAACTGTGCATTAGCTTCATAGATGCACACAACATCATCGGTGTAGCATTGATCAATGGTGGGCACTCGGCGGAACTGACGATGGTACCAGTAAGACTTCTTCTGGTTGGGCTCCACAATGGACTCTGAAAAATAAAGCAAGTATAGACAGAGAAATTCCAATGTGAATAATAATAATACTAAGTTTATTGTAGTGTGAATGATAATAATACTAAGCTTAAAACAAGCCATAAAAGAAGAATTCAAAAAGCACTAAATATATAAATCAACTTACATATATACAACTGCAAAAAATTAAAAAAAACTCATTGGAGTTACAGGTCCTATACCATTCGTGTAAGTCCAACAACTAACAACAATTGCTTGTGCACAAAATCTGCCTGGAATGACCTGATTTTTAAAACACAACACATAAATAAACATTCACCATACTATATTAAAACTTCCAAAGTTCCAATTTCCGCATGTTTAGGTACTATCATAACAGTCAGTATCTAGCCTATCTCACATAGTGTTCACTGTTCAGGAGAAAACCATGAGCAGGCAATATAGATGATTATAATTGGACTTGATGATTTGGTACGGTACTACTTTTTTTGGAAACAAGCAAATTTAATTAGTATTATAATTATAACCACATTAATGATCAATGACATAATTTTGCTTGTCAGTAAGTAAAATTTGTAGATTTTTCACGTTTATTTATATTTTGCTTTTATTCAGGTAGGTATATGGTATTTTTCTAAAAAAAAATCTAGTTTCAGATTTATAGTTTTTGTTTAGATCAGAGGAAATCTTTATGTGCACATACCTATTATAGACAAATGGGGTAAGACAGGATTGCAGCCTTCATGGGGGTAAGAAACGACCAGCCCATGGCATGCATTCTAATTGCACTAAATTTAATTTGACAAAAGAATATGTTAGAGCAATAATTGCATGTCATTTCAGTGTTTGTTTCAACCCTCTTCTGCAAATAATTAATTTTTGGCCAATTTTTAAAGAAAACCTATGTAAAGAAGGGTCACAAAATAGTTAATCCTATTTGGGAAATAAGCTCTGTCTAATGACAAAAAATTTTTTGGCCAGGTTTGTGGATGTAGGCAGGTAACCTCAAGTAATAAGCAAATTTTGTGACATACTAGGCATTTCTACCTGCTACCCTCACTGCCTCACATGTATTGTAAAATGGGGTAAAAAAAGACCGGACATGGGGTAAGATGGGACCACTAAATGATCTTGTTTTGCCCCACAAGTGGTCCTATCTTACTCCACAAATGGTCCTGTCTTACCCCACAAATGGTCCTCTCTTACCTACAGTTTATCAAAAATAGTTTTTTACTGTTTTTAAATGAATATATTATTGCGCAGTACATGGAGTAGTCTGGTCAAAATTTTTATCGTTTGCTCAAACTTCATTATAACTTGTTAGCTGTTTTAATTAGAGAAATTTAGTGCACTATTTTAAATTGCATCAAAGGGATGGACTGATGGAGAAAATAGGGATGTCTCTTCCCATTAGTGAGCTGCAGAACTATGTGCAACATTGGCTGGTTGAAAAGCCATTGTGTGAAACATGAAAAATAATTATGATCACAACTCTGTGAGAGGGCATGAGCTATGTTTGAAGAAGTGCACCACAAATGCAGTTAGCAAGAAAACACATGATGTCTGAGACTCAAGTTAGGGTAAACGCGGTATATTCTGACATCGTGGGTAATTCCGTCACCTCTCCAGCTTTTCCTTTATATTAAGCTTTGTTTTAGTTCCATGCATTTGTTGATGGTTGAAATGGTGACGTCATATATTTACGTGTCAAAATACTGCCAAAACACTAGGTATTGGCCATCTAGTGGGAAAATATTGAGATCCAAAGAGAGACAATGCATGCCACCTGGTGAGATCATCGAAATATGTGTCAAATTGGACAGTTGACCTTGCTCTACCAAATANGACACGCAAATATATGACGTCACCATTTCAACCATCAACAAACGCATGGAACTAAAACAAAGCTTAATATAAAGGAAAAGCTGGAGAGGTGACGGAATTACCTACGATGTCGGAATATACTGCGTTTACCCTATGACACTAAATCTAATGGAATATACATGAAGCATTTAGCAGTGCTCTACAATGAACCAAAGCCAACCCACTATTCACAGTGACGAGCCAGAGATTTTTTTAGAATACCATGGGTTTGGCTTTAAAACCCCAAAAAACCCTTATTCTATGGTTCCTAATTTTCTCAAGATTTAAACCACTTTCTCATGTAAGATAATGATGATATCCATGATACTTTACTGGTCTGCTTAGTGCTTATAGCCTTATATAGGACTCAAAAATGAACTCGAGGCAGAGTCCAAAAAACTCTCTGCTTTGCCACTATTACTATGTTTAACAAAGTTTTCTCATGACAACAACCCCAATGTGACTGATATTAGAGTTGACTTCCCGCAACACAAAACAGTAACAAGTGGTTGTTTGAGCAAATAATGTTTCTAGATGGATAATATTGAATATCATATTTGTACCTCAATTAAAAACTTTGTAACATAAGAATTACCTGTTGGTCCTGTCTTACCCCAGCCTTGTCCCATCTTACCCCATTGGGGTAAGATGGGACAAGCTCACTTTTTTCAATCTGTACAGAAAACTATGTTGGATGCAAAATGTCTGAGTTGTAGCTTAGAAGCCCATTGCATAAATACACCTTGTGATAGGTTTAGGGTATTTTAGTTATTCATGGTATAGATGCTACAGGCTTGTTATTGATTTTGGTCCTGTCTTACCCCATCTGACTATACCTAACCTGCTAGACGTAGGTAAGTATTATTCTGAGATTCATTTCAGAAACTCACCTCTGACCCATTGTACTCCGCCCTCTAAAGTTCGACCTATAGCAGTAAGAAAGTCGATATAAGAATTTTTCGGTTCATTATCATTCTCCCCTCCCATTTTCGAACAAGTTACTTGTAAAGCAAAGATTCGTGGATCCTTAATTTGTTGTTATCTGGCAAATTAAAGGATATTAGAAAAAACAGAGCGTACTTCTTCTTTCTTTCTTTAATTGGAATTTATGGGAGCCTCTGAAGACTGGTTCAATGCGGCCCCATGTCAGAACGGTTCAAGGAATTTGACTGAATTTTGTACCTGGGGACACTAACCACTACCTGGGGACACTAACCACTACCTGGGGACACTAACCACTCGCCTGGGGACACTAACCACTACCTGGGGACACTAACCACACGCCTGGGGACACTAGCCACTCACCTGGGGACACTAACCACAACCTGGGGACACTAACCACTACCTGGGGACACTAACCACACGCCTGGGGACACTAGCCACTCACCTGGGGACACTAACCTCTACCTGGGGACACTAACCACTACCTGGGGACACCAACCACTCACCTGGGGACACTAACCACTACCCTGGGGACACTAACCACAAAACCGGGGGTCACTAACCACACATTGAGGCAACTTAAAATCTTTGTAACGAATTTTGCAGTTTGATGCTGGGAGCATTTATAGGTGTTCAGGAGTTCAGTATGGGTGTTCAGGAGGAACTTCACTTTAGCTGGTGGTAAATCGTACCATTCGCCGGCTCAACGCCTCGGAGCGGGACAGCAGAGCATTTTCAAAGTTCGAGAAAGATAGTTCCAGAACAATGACGTAGCAGCCGGCAGAAGCCGGCTACTGTCACGGGAGCTCAGCACAATGAACCTCTTGCCTCAACGGTTAGAACAGAACTCCTACTCAGACAGAGCGTACTTCAACTCGGCTACTTGAGGCCGGATAGAAAATTTTCCGGAGCCTCGCTAATCGCGGATTCATCAATAGCAGGATTTGATTTACAACTTGGCGGTTTTAGCAAACTATTCTAATACTATTATAACTATTCATATAAATGTGGGACATTAGGTGATCACATAATGACTGATAAATTTTTAATAAAAATTGTTAAACAGTTGGGTGGACCAGTAGTTACAGTTAAGAATACAGAAGCTCAGCCGTAGACCACAAATTTGGGTTGACTGCCGAACGCATTATGATTCGGCATGATTGCATTATGATTCCTGCCTTTCGGAACGTAGCCTTTAATTAACACTTCTGGACAATCATATTTAGGCTGAGCGTCGAACCAGCCCTCGGTCGAACGACCACTCGTCCAAGGACGATAAATTTTGGAACAGAACCATGCTATCTGAAGCATAACTTCAGATGCGGTGAACGTAAAATTATGTAATTTAACGATGCCCGGAAGTCATATTCGATCCGCCCCCTGGTGATGCACGGCAGGTTTCATGCAAGGCCGGAGGAAGACAAAGCCGAGGGGTCACGGCTGATTCGTGGATGCCCGGAGAGATCCAAGACGTTCGATTCAGGGCTTATTGGTGCACAAAATGATATGCTATCCTGTGATATAGATGCCAGGTTATCCTGTGATATAGAGGCCAGGTTATCCGGTGATATAGAGGCCAGGCTATCCGGTGATATAGAGGCCATGCTATCCTGTGATATGGAGGCCAGTTTATCCGGTGATATAGAGGCCAGGCGATCTGGTGATCTAGAGGCCAGGCTATCCGGTGATCTAGAAGCCAGGCTATCAGGTGATATAGAGGCCAGGCTATCAGGTGATATAGAGGCCAGACGATCTGGTGATCTAGAGGCCAGGCANGGAGTTGCAGGATCAGGAGTTGCGGGATCAGGAGTTGCGGGATCAGGAGTTGCGGGATCAGGAGTTGCTGGTGTGAACCCCAACAGGGAATGAACTAAGAAGCTGGTTTTTTTTTAATTTGAATTCACTTGAATTCAAATTAACAATCAGGCAAAGAAATATATCAGCAAAAGGAAAATTGGTGGTCAGCAATTCTATTTATATTGATCAGCGCTGTGACGCCTTCAGTCTGCTCCTTCTGTGCTTAAATTCATCGTCGTTTTAATTTAATCCAATAACTGAGAGCTTAGCAGGGAATTTCTCTCGCATGTAAATTCATATCAAATCAGCTTGAAAAGTGAACCGAGGAGGAGTTTTTTAAATCATCACATTATAAAAAAAATTATATTCGAGTAATGGATGAATTTTGTTATCCTTGCCTGGTTCTCTGGATCGGATGCTGGAGTCTCGCCAGACAAGCGGTTGCCCTGCCGCCCGTCATACGCATCGGTAAGACAATCTATAATATTATAGCCTGTTTTAAAAATATATATAATAACGTATAATATAAGCAATATTGTTTTATCAATTTCATAATCCTAATAATTCGTATGAATGATAAGGAGAATGCGGCCTAATAGTTGGGTTTCTTAATTGATCCATGCTACTAACAATACCTAATAACTTATAATAATACATAATTACATAAAATAATCTACAATAATCAATAATAATCATGCCTAATATTCAATAGCAATCTAAAATAATTGTGCCTAATAATCTATTATCATACCTAATAATCTATAATTCAGCCGTGTACCATTCCAATGCCTAAATTACATAATAAAAATTCATTTAGGCTTTTAGCCATTAAGTAAAATTTCGGTTAATGTATTCGAGGCAAAACTCATTCGATTATTGGAAATCCACTAATGCACGCCTGTAATTATTTTCATCAATTATTGTGAATTGATTTAGATTTCCCTCTTCATCAAACTTAGCTTAATAATAAAATGAGTTTTGTTTTAATTCTCTGTTACATACTCTATTAAATTACGCTATGTCATTACTATTTATCGTAGGCTTTCTTGAGCTATGCCTCTTTGCCAAGCTATAACTTCACCATAAATTTCTGTTATAAGAAGTATTTTCTGCCACAGACCTAAATACAACAATATTTTTGCTCCATTTTGTATAAGCGCGGCAGTAATGGCCGCCTATTGCTGCTAGCTTGCACGAATTCTTAGCAACAATTTCAGCTTTTTGTGTCTAATTCTACTCTACATTACTTCTCACTACTTTACTGATTTCGTTACTGATTATATTTGTGTATAATTCTACTTTCATTCACTTTTCATTAGTTCACTGATTTCTTTACTGATTTTCTTTGTGTCTAATTCTATATTACTTATTATTACTTCACTGATTTCTTTACTGACTTTCTTTATGTCTAATTCTACTATAATTTGCTTCTCGTTTCTTCACTGATTCATTTACTTCAGATTCTTCCGTTTAACCATGGTCATTTGATTAATTTATTCCTAATTAGTTAGCGAAAATAATTTATAAATTTTGTACAAATAATCCGGCGCTAATTGTTCCATGAATATCCCAAGTGCAAGTTTACTTTCAAATTAGATTTTTTCGAAGTTTTTTGCCACGCTCTTAGAAGCTATAAAATTTCAGTGCTTGATAATTATCTCGAACTGTATTTTTATTCATAAATTAATCTTATAACCCAACTTTACACGTGACCGGATCGAATTTCTTAATTTGAACACCTAAAAAATCCCGTTATGTTATTGAAACCATTTGATGCCAAATTACTTTTAAAATACTCATCTAAAAATATGCTTAGTTTCACTTTAATTTATTGTCGCTAATATTTATTCTCAATATAATTAAAAGATTAAGTATTCTGCATAGCGTGTTCTTTGAGACGCCCTCTTTAGTTTGATTTAACGAGCCCTGTCCTTAATTACCAGAAGGATCTTCAAGATACTCCTTCAGCTCTCCTAAAGTGTCCTGCACTCTAATTGGAACACGAGGCGTCCCTATTTACCACCTTGGATATTCTCGCTAATTGATTAGAGCTAAAATAAAATCCTGAACGCGAAAATCCTTTTCTCTTTGGAGGAAGGATACTGGGTCACCAAAGGCAGAAGCTGGATTGGCTGGAGCAGAATATAACTTGTGCATGCGAGGACTTTGAACTGGACCCGAACTGACGAAACAAATTTAAATATTAGAGCCGTGATAAAAATCTACGGATTATGAAACACACATTCAAGTAATCCACACAAATAGTTGTGGGAAGAAAGATAATGGGTAACGTGCCTCAAGCTTGGTTCATTAACAGGTGCATGCTCACATCAACATAAGGAACGATGGGTAGAGTTAGATTTAGGGTTTGTGATGCGCGGTTACTGATGTGTAGTTAGAGTCAGTGATGTTCAGCTAGTGATGTGTAGTTAGAGTTAGTGATGTGTAGTTAGAGTTAGTGATGTGTAGTTAGAGTTAGTGATGTGTAGTTACAGTTAGTGATGTGTAATTACAGTTAGTGATGTGTAGAACTGAGGGTGGCTTAAGCGTGCCACGATGTCGGTAGGCTGAATGAACGCTGTATGGACGTTGAGTAGGCTGTATGAACGCTGTATGGACGCTGTATGGACGTTGTATGAACGCTGAGTCTGACAACTCAAGCGACACTCAATCCAGGAGATATCTTCCGAGAATTCGATGAGTCAGCGTTTTTCAAAATTTGCAAACTTTGTGATCTCACATTTCTGCAGGATATTTTCTTAAATTATCCGTCCTGAATTTGATCATGAATTATTTGCAAATACTAATTTAATTCCACAATCGCCCTTCTATCGTACCCCAGGTTATTTTATCCCGGACGCTGCTCTGTATTAATCAGTCCAAAAATTGTATGAATTGGAGGAGAATTTGTGTGAGAATATTGCCTTAAACTTTTATTTGTTAACACCATGTTATGATGCTGCCCTAATGCTACCAATATCTTACTAAATCCCTTTTAGTCATAACTAGTACTAATACCACTAATACCCGTAGTTACTAGTCATTACTAGTACTAATACCACTATAATACCCGTAGCGACTAGCCATAACTAGTACTAATACTAATACCACTAATACCCGTAGTTACTATCACAACTAGTACTAATACAAATAATACCGCTAATACCCGTAGTTACTAATCTAAAGATTTTTATTTAATTGAAGCTTAAGATAAAGATTTTAGTTTGACTTCGATTTCTGAATATGAACTCTCATATTTATGCATCTCGACTAATATGAAAGAGAGCGTCATAACTTATTTTATATTAGCAATGAAATAATAGAGCTGGGAAGGGAAGGGCTCAGTCACTGGGGAAGCCATGCAAGTGAGGTGAACACCGACACTTCTAGAGCTTTGTGGCGCTCCAAACCAATGCCTGGCTGGCAGAAGTTACCCTAAATCAGGGTAGCAAATCAAACAATGAAGAAATTGTTGATGAAATGGTGAAATCTTGAAAGAATTTGCCTAAAGAGGCCTCATTTGAATTTAAATTTCATTTTCATTGGTTTGGAGCGTCACTGGTATAATATCGACTGTGTAAAATATTTATCAACTTGTAATGATCAGCAGAAGTCATACAATAGCCTTCTTAAGGGGTCAGCTAACACCCTATAGTTATATTGTCATATTGTAATATCTAATTGTTATAGTGTACATTGCAAAGTTATAGTATAGTAATATTGTATATTGTATATTTTACATTATATATTGTAAAGTTATTGTATTTTAAAGTACTGGGAAACGATATTTAGCCATGTATTTGGATTCCTTATCATATCACTAAAGCTATTAAATAATATCTCAATGACAATAATTTCTGATATATTATAAAAGCGAGCATAGCAGAAAACTTAAATCTTAGCCAAATAATCTATGATTCAATTTTTAAGTCTATAATCATATTGAACCTGCACATACAAAATCGCTGACTGTATATGCATTCGCCATTATAGGTGCCTATTATACTGTTTCTATTGAAAGGGATTCGGAGGTCATAAAATCGACGAGTTGAGGCACTAATATGCCCCCTAAATTACCAGGTCTCAACGCACTCCGGCCGCCGCTACAAATTGAATCATTGCCTACAAAACTCGTTGACAAATTACCGCCTAATATTGAATTATGGCCTACAAAACTCGTTGACAAATTACCGCCTAATTGATCAGACGCCGCGACCTCGCACCGCTGCAGGCTGCATGACATTGCCAGCCTTGGCCACGTGAATATTAAATGTCCGCCACGAAAGTTTTAACTTTGCCGTGTGCCAAAAATTTAGCTCTTAAATTAGCCTTGAGTCAGCGGCCATCCTCAACATGCAATAACTACACTCAGCCTCAGAGCTAGAAGCCGCAGACTACGCTGGAACATCGTAAGCCTGATGAGTTCCGTACTACATTAAGATAATTGCACCGCATGTCCACAGCCAGTGCTTAAACATGCATGCAGGCAGTTCTATTTAGGTAGAGGGGTTGCCGTGTAACTGCGCTACATTGTAAATGAATATTATGCGTGAACATGCTCGTGGTAAAAGGGTCGCAACATCACAAATAATTCATAACAAGGTTGCGCATCTCAAAGATCAAGAGTGAAAAATGAATGAGAAGAGGAGCGAATATTGAGGAGGGAAAACTCTTCAAACTCAGGGCGACATTGGACCGAGGGTGACGGATTAAACCGTCCGAGGGGACGGTGGGCGACAGCTGCGCTGGCTGGAACACGGAACAGCTTTGGAGATTAAATCCTGATCTTGGAGATCCTCATTAGCATGTTCCTTGTCTCTCCACTCCCTGGCTTTATGGCTTTGAGGTGACATGAGTTTTTACCTTACATAAGAGTGGCCCACTCAGTTTCCCACCATGTTAGGTTTAACGCAATCAATGTAAGTGCTCAGGCGCGATGTTTAAAGAGGATCAGAGAGTTTAACGAAATGAATGCATGTGTTCAGGTGCGATGTTCACAGAGGATCAGAGAGTTTAACGAACTGAATGTATTGTGTTCAGGTGCGATGTTCACAGAGGATCAGAGAGTTTAACGAAATGAATGCATGTGTTCAGGTGCGATGTTCACAGAGGATCAGAGAGTTTAACGAACTGAATGTATTGTGTTCAGGTGCGATGTTCACAGAGGATCAGAGAGTTTAACGAACTGAATGTATGTGTTCAGGCGCGATGTTCACAGAGGATCAGAGAGTTTAACGAACTGAATGTATTGTGTTCAGGCGCGATGTTCACAGAGGATCAGAGAGTTTAACGAACTGAATGTATTGTGTTCAGGCGCGATGTTCACAGAGGATCAGAGAGTTTAACGAACTGAATGTATTGTGTTCAGGTGCGATGTTCACCGAGGATCAGAGAGAAGGCCCGACAGAGGTGGCGTTTAAGTACGCCATCTACCGCATCAACAAAGACGTGCACCTGCTGCCCAACACGACGCTGCTATACGACGTGCAATACGTGCCTCGTGACGACTCCTTCCACACGTCAAAGAGAGGTGATATGCTTCCGAGTTTTTTGTGCCGTTACATTGGAATCTTGTGTTTATAATTATTTTGTGAGTACAGAGATTTGAGGTTATTTTAGATTGTTCTTATCTTTACGGCGTTTGTTGATGGTAAAAAAAATTATGTTAGAAGGATTTGATTGTTGCAAAAAAGACAAGCTATTCTGATGTGTCAGCTCAATTGTATTAAGAGAATGAAAAAGTGAGGCGTGCAGGCACCGAGATGGTGTACTTATAATTACAATCCAAATAATTTATAAGTAGTAGCTTAGGATGGTCACATGTTCATTCTCAACTAATTGTCACGTATACAGAAGTAGCTATAGTGTATATATTTTTGATTTAGCATTAAATATGAAGAAGTCTTGCTGGTTGCACAGCGTGTGAGCAGATCCAGTACGGCGTACAGGCCGTGTTCGGCCCCTCAGACAGCCAGCTCGCCACTCACATCCAGTCCATCTGCGACGCCCTGGACATCCCTCACCTCGAGTCCAGGCTGGACCTGGAGCCCGAGTTCAAAGAGTTCTCCATCAACCTCTACCCTTCCCACGACGCCGTCAATCAGGCCTTCCAGGACGTCATGAACTTCCTCAACTGGACCAAAGTCGCCATCATCTACGAGGAAGATATCGGTGAATGTTGAACGTTTTTGTTAAAGATTAGAAAATTTTAGTTATTATTTTATCGCGTATCATCGCTGCATAGGACTATTATGATAATTATGGATAAAATATTTTTTATTGTTTCCCTTATGTGTGAACGACTCTAAGCGTCTTACAAATTTCATAATCGCTGCTTGTCAGTAATTGCTTCAGCATTAAAAATATTAAACATGCAGATAACTGAACTTTTGAAGCGAGTTTTAAAAATGTTGCTCTTTTGGAAACTTAATCCGCTTAACTGGCAAGGTGAACGCAATTGAAAGTCTCTATTTCATGCGCAACGGGAAGTGCTGTATTTTGATGTCTTGAATTTACTTTCCTCAAAGCTTTATTTCATAAAATGTTCAGGTTTAATCAAGCTGCAAGACCTGGTGAAGACGCCACCTAAGGAACACATGGAGTTCCTTCTGAGACAAGGATCCCCTGCCACCTACCGAGAACTGCTTAAAGAGATCAAGAACAGAGAGATATACAACGTCATCGTCGACACCAAGGCTGAAAACATGAATCACTTTCTCAGAGGAGTGAGTACTCTTGCTTTGATGTACAGAAGTTTAACTCATCACTTCCTCAGAGGAGTGAGTACTCTTGCTTTGATGTACAGAAGTATAACTCATCACTTCCTCAGAGGAGTGAGTACTCTTGCTTTGATGTCCGGAGGTATGACTCATACCTCCGGACATCAAACTCATACCTCATAACTCATCACTTCTTCAAAGAGGTGAGTACTCTTGCTTTGATGTACAGAAGTATAACTCATCACTTCCTCAAAGAGGTTAGTACTCTTGCTCTGATGCACCGAACATTACGCATCACTTTCTTAGTGGTGTGATTCCAATGGATTAATGCCAATCTCCCCAGCAAACCTGTGTGACCCACCAGATGTTTCACGACGAGTTCGAGTTCCACCTCCCAATAAAGTTGCCATGTCACACTGTGCCGCAACTTTCATGCGAATGTACAGGTCACAATTGGCTGCCTAAATTCCACACCGATAGCAATGGCCGCATGAGAGCGAAATTATTTTATAAAATCGCTCTGCTGAGAGTGTCCGGTGCCGTCCAGTAGCTACCGGCAGTATTTGTTAGGTAAAGAAATCCTGGACATGAAGTGACGACTTCCCTAGCTATTCATGCGAGGAGCGGCGTGGCGGGGGCTGTTAAAGACCGTGTTTTTATAAAAGGTGTTATCACAATAACGCTTTAGGGTATCATAATAACGCTTTAGGGTATCACAATAACGCTTGAGGGTATCATAATAACGCTTTAGGGTATCATAATAACGCTTTGAGGGTATCATAATAACGATTGAGGGTATCATAATAATGCTTTAGGGTATCATAATAACGCTTTAGGGTATCATCATAACGCTTTAGGGTATCACAATAACGCTTGAGGGTATCATAATAACGCTTTAGGGTATCATAATAACGCTTTAGGGTATCATAATAACGCTTTAGGGTATCACAATAACGATTGAGGGTATCATAACAACGCTTTAGGGTATCATGATAACGCTTGAGGATATCACAAAAACACTTGAGGGTATCAACACAACATTGATGATATCACAATAACGCCTGAAAGTATCACAATGACACTTGAGGCCATCACATTAACACTTCTTATTGAAAGTTGTTACTTGCTAATATAGCGGCAGGATAGGCTCGGTCTTTCGTGGCCAGACATTTTTATAGGCTACTTCACAGTCCCGAGGCAAACGTCGATTCAAACTGCCACAGAGGATACGTTTTCAATGAGGATATGGTAAACTTACCAGCGTTTTATTTGCTTTAAATTTTGTGTGGAACAGGAAAATACCGACCAAACCTTCTTCCCGTATTATTTGATGGCCGAAATATACGAGTCGTTGCATTCCCTTCAAACCAACACGTCGGAGTTCAAAGCCCCCCGACGGCTTGTGGGGAGCCGCTGCTATTCTTGAGCTCAATTGGAATCCATTGACGCCTTCGTACGTCGCATCTTCATATGTCGCCTCGCATTCCGGCATCACTCCGCCTCGCATTCCGGCATCACTCCGCCTCGCATTCCGGCATCACTCTTCCTCGCTGCTCAGCACTATTCTGCCTCACTTCTCACCATCACTGCGCCTCATCTCAGGCACGAAGAGCAGAAGCCGTGCGGAAGTGAAGCCATTAGCGAGGCCCAACTTGCCCAAGATACGGCCATAGTTTCTGAAGTTTGTCAGATAACGAACTGCATGATCGACTGCTTTTGTAATTACCGGCGCCGTCCGACCCGTTGCCTATTTGAAGTTCGAACAATTACCAAGCGAAGCCATATTCGGATGATTTTTTATTCTCATTTTCAATTTTGGATCTTCCAAATGATTGACCGCAGTACTGCTTGGAAGTTGCATGATTTAATTCCTAGACCAGAAGTATTTGCGTGGATAACTGGAATAAGTGTTCAGTAGTTCGCTGTATTTATGTCGCGTCAAGACTGAATGTATAATCTCCTGCGTTGCCGTGTTTTCACGTCAAGATAATTCTTAGTATTCAAACGACGATAAGAAATTTACCAATTTAGAAATGAATGGAGAATCGTCGAAACATAAGTTAGTGTCATTTATTGGGGTATATCAACTTATCCTTAAACTTTCGGCATGCATTGTTGCACTAACGTGATGGTTATTCGAAAATATGAACTGGTATTTTTTTAATTTTATTACGGTAGATGATGATTCTGGATAAAAATCTGTTGCATACATGCGGCTTGTCTTGCATTTTAGCCCAAAGCTCTCGGCATTGCTGGCGTTGCTACAGATCTTGCAGATCATCTGTTGGCAGCCGGCGGATAATGGCCACACATCGATCAGAAAATGCGCCGTCGTAACACTCATTTAGCAAACAATCTACGGGCCTTAGATATCCTATGACCTAACCATCAATCTGCATGCCATGAACATCCCATGAGGAAAGGCCTCCGACATATGAGGCCAGGCCGGCTGCCGATATCTGAGGCCAGGTCTGCAGCTGATATATGAGGCCAGGTCTGCAGCTGATTTATGAGGCAGGTCTGCAGCTGACGTATGAGGCTAGGTCTGCATGCGACGAATGAGGCTAGGTCTGCAGACGACATGTGAGGCCAGGTCTGCAGGCGACATCGAGCGTAGTCGCGATCGTCGCTTTCCGAGCGCCTCTATTTACCGGCGGCACTGCGGAGCAGGGACCGGAAATGCGGCCCTATTACAGCAGGATGGGGGTCTGTAGCTCGATAGGTGGGGTCCGACAGCAGATCAGTGGAGCCGCCACCCGAAAGGCCTGCTTAACTTCGGCTTAGGCTCCTTAAGGGTTAACGAGGGCATGCGACGAGGAGCACAGAGGCTCCAGATAACCAGCCATGCGGAAGCTGCCCAATTCGTTGCAGTTGCGACGCTCGCCCAATTTGGCCGCGCGCTGCCAAAATTGCCGGCGTTCTGGAGGACCAAATGAAGCTCGCCAGAATTGCAATGACGCGATCCGCTAAGAGCCGGATGATGAGCAGACGCATCACGGCATGCTGTTCCGCCAGAGTGATTTTTGGCACAATGTTTTTTTAATTTGGGCCAAGTAATTTTTGAGAAACCGATACATTGAATGCGTATGCCTAAATAACCTTCGATTCTTATAGGAAATATGTTCCTTAATATTGATTATTAGACGGATTTCCGTAGCGACATTATACGCACCTTACATATCAAGTGACTTTGAATTGACTCTCGTTACTGAAAAAATCTTAACATTTTAAAATGTTCAGACCATATGATCAAACATTGGTGCATAGCCCGAACGTCGATTTCAACTCAAGCCTCTAAAAAGCCTGGGAAACTTGATCACGCTGAGCTTGAAAGTGTTTTTCTGACGAATGAAAAATTCTGAAATCCTTTCTTGTCGTCGCACATTTTCCTCCACAGTTGTTGAGCGCAATATGTTGAAGACATTGAGACATTTACCTTACTCATGTAAGGCAATATGTTGTGCGGCTCTCTGCTGACGTGTAATGTTTACCTAGTGCTCACACGTCTGACGTGTCTTGTACCTAGCAGGCCTCTACACGTAGTGACGTTCCTTCCACTAGACTTAGTGACGTTCCTTCCACTACACGTAGTGACGTTCCTTCCACTAATTCCTTCCACTACACGTCACGTAGTGACATTCCTTCCACTACACGTAGTGACGTTCCTTCCACTACACGTAGTGACGTTCCTTTCACTACTCGCAATGCGTCACTTCGTGCACGCAGAAAACACCCCATTCCTGCAGGAAACCTACGTGTTTCTGCGTGAACGCCGCCCAGGATTTGTGCGAGGCGATCGAGGAAGCAAGCGGTGCCAGCTCCAGTGATCGCTAATCTGCGTGAAATTGATAACGCATTGGCAATAGGAAGGCCCGCTTGCCGCCATAACTCGCGCACGTAATTGCCTTGTTTCTGTCGCTAGAATATCGTTAGGACCTTGCATGTTACGTGTTTGGATTCCTGGTGCTATTTGTGTCAATGTTTTGATGTTTCAGAAGCAAGCATGCCTGCATGACGTTTATAGGCATACTCTAAAACGTTTATGCAGATACTTTTTTTATTGCAAAATTCACCATTAAGTATGAACATCTTCAAAAACAGACTAGACGAAGCTATGCAGGAGCATATGTTCAGTCTTAAAATGCCTAGCAAATTACGGACCAGGCAATAAGTCCAGCAGCTATCTCAATCAATTCGTCAGCTATGGAAAGATCGGGTTCCAAAGGCCGGATCTCTTGTGAATCAAGTCACGAAAAGTTCAAGAATCGGCAACAGGCCATGGGCCTATTTCTTCAACGCCAACACTATTCTATTCTATTCTATTCTATTCTATTCTATTCTATTCTATTCTATTCTATTCTATTCTATTCTATTCTATTCTATTCTATTCTATTCTATTAAAAACAGCTCAATTTGTTTTTCAATAGAAAACTTATTACTTGCTCTCATTATTTAGCGAGTTTAAAATGATGCGATTCTGTTCATTCATATTCTTGTATTAATTTCCTGTAAGTGTAATTCTATTATTAATGTTAATGTGATTCTATTATTTTTATTAATTTGTGATTGTTATTATGATTCCGAACAAAATAAAAAGGTCTCAGTTGTGGGTCATCTAATTGTATATTCATAACGTATGAAATACGACCTTTAAAACTTAATACATAATTTTATTCGTGGAGGTACGATGGAAAGTCACTCTCTTAGATGCGCATTTCATAATTAAAATATAGAATATTGAACTTTTATTTATCCCTGCTAAAAGCTCGTCAGTTTCTCGGGCGCTGTTAATTACGAGCGGAAGTCGTTGAGCAAAACTCGTGGTCGGCGCACAAGACATTCTTGTCCTGGCCGTTGCTTCGTCAGCAGCTCGCCCCCCAACTTGTGTTCTGGGGTCGTGACGAAGGGGAGGGCGGGGAACTCGTCTCACCGCTCCCCGTATTGTGACGAATTAAGGGGTCGGGATGGGGAAGGGAGCAAGAGCTTTCCGGGGTGACTAGTTGGGTGTCGCGACGTGGAAAGAGGAAGGAGGTCCCCGGGTTAACGAGTTGGGGTCCGCGACGTGAAGAGGTGGGAGGAATTAGGAAATAACTACAAAAAATTGAAGAAAATTATTATATTCGTCAACTATTGGTCGGACACTTGTAAGTCAAGCGCGAAGATTTTGATTTCTTATGCTTAATTAGGAATTGAAAACTATTGGATTTCTTCACGTTTTATGTTTTTATTTATTTTTCATTAGTGATACAGATCAACGTGTCTTCATAACTTATCTGTAGACCTTAGTGATAATTATGGTAGACAAATAAGCTCTATATCAATATCTATAGCGAGAGCACGAACAGCCGCTCCAGATGCCGCTACAATGAATCCTTCATGACATTTACAAAAGTTGTATACAATTCAGGACAAATTCTGGCATTGAGAATCAAAAGTTTTAGGAAAACTCGTCTGTTGTCGCGGGGTTGTTTGGAATAGAAGAATTTTGTGAGGCTCGAAGCACGAAACTTGGCCGCATGAACTGCCACTTTAAATGAATCTTGAGAATATTTGAATCACACAACGTACTCATAGAGCCAAAGCTTTCCATTGCGGGCCATGTTAGACACAATGCTGAAAATTTGGCCTAAAATAGTTTATAATCATGAAATAAAAATCATTATATAATCTAGTCCTATTTAAGATCACATGATTGAATTTCAATTAAATCCGTTTGGAAAATATTTTCCAATAGAGGCATAAATTTTTCAGGATAGAATTTGCTTATAAAACACCGGAGCAATCATCTAAAATAATGGTAATAATTATTGCGGATTTGCATGCAGCGATCCTAACGCTACACTAACGCCATTTTTAGTTAGAAAATAATTCTGTTGCAAGTCAATTTTCAACCTCGGGTGTTTCTCATAAACTATTGAACTTGCTGGAAATAATGATGAAAATATTTCTAGAACTGTTTAGTCGAAGAGTTTGATTTTGCCGCGTTTTCATTTGCGCCGAAGCTGCTCTTGTTCTGTTGCTCTTGTCTCGCTGTTAACAGAAGATAACAGAACTGATACAGACAAAATAATCGTGTTTGTTTAGCATTATTGCGTTGTGTTGAGATTGGGTTTGAAGGCATATCATGTCAGCGCTTTTAAACTTGCAAGGGCTTGCGAACATTTTCCTTCACTCGGTTAAATTACTGTGTTCCCTGCAAGGTGGTCCAGAGGCTTCACATGTGAAGCTTTTCTCCATTTAGCTTGTTGTGACCGACATTCTGCCTTTTGTTTGGCGTTATTATATTATTGTTATAATTATTACAGTTGTGCTTTATTATCATAATAATGGACCAAAGTTATTTTTTTCATTATGATAAGAACCATTAAGGTATCTCTGAACAAGACATTTCATAAATCACTATGCGTCTAGCACTGTGCATGAATAGTCTACGAACAGCTCGTTAATCTCATTCCTTTCTCTCCACTTCCTCAGATTCTGCAGCTACAGATGAATGACTACAAATACCACTACCTCTTCACAACTTTTGTGAGTAAACTCAGCTTCTGATATAATTAGAAAAATAATACTAACAGTAGATGTTGAAACTTGACTTATTGTGTTCTTAAGAAATTTAGTGATACATTCTTCTTTTGCTTGCGACCGACGGCCTTCTTATTAACATCCAAAGATCTGAATTGGCATCTCATAGAGATCGGACATCAAATAATTCGCTTGCGCGTCTGAGTCCATAAGACACTGACATCTATCTGCAACTCTAAAAATCTGAATTTAATTTAATTCAGATTTTGTGTCATAAAATTATACAAAGCAATTTAGTATTAGTTCGGCTGTGATTCATTTGCACGGACCTCTCGATAGCTTCATTGCCGAGGCGGCCGAAATATCACATTGCGGGATCAGCCCTAATTAAGCAGCCTGGGATACATAATCTAAATCAGTTCAATTGGGAACAACTGACTGCGGGATCCACACCAAAGATTCTCTGTAGATTCCCTAGCAAGCTGCATCCTTTTCGTTCTTCTCATCTCTCTCCTCATGCGATACGTTACGTTTGTAATCTGGCTGGGCATCATGCAAAGCGGAATAAAATATTATTGACCGTACGTTCAGTAATTCATAAGAAAATATTGTATAATTTATGAGGGAGACACTAAATTACTTACTTACAAAATAAAATAAGCCTGACATGTGTCTGACTATTAAGTTACACAGGCCATAATGCTGATACATGTAAATAAGCAACCATAGCAACTGCCAAATAGTCTAATCGTCAATGAAAAATAATCTGAAGTTACTTCACTTTAGAAAATAAGTTGAATCACTCTCATAGGACAAAAATTTCGCGAACAATACCAATAATAGCGAGTAATATTAACCATAAGCAAATGCAGTTGAAGCATTGAACACGAAACTGGCGTCAGACGCTGCGCGGCAATTGCCCGGGCTCCTGACAAATGGCAGGCTGACTGTCAGCAAAAGATCTTTTTCTTGCAATGGCCTGGGATTGCCACTTGATAGGCTGACCCCGATCTTCCGACTCAGTCCTACAATCTCAAGATCTGTCCCTGGATTTTATTGGAGAATTGATGAATCTTCGTAGAAATTCTGAAATGTGACCAAAATCTCAATGCGGAGGACTTGTCAGGTTTCAACATCAGCGCTGGGAAAATTTTTTTGTGAGGATAAAAATGAGCGTGATGTTTTATGAGGATGTCAATTCCAGCTGTGAGAAGCATCTTTAAATATATGAGAAATTAATTGGTAAAAATATTTCTAATTGCATGAAGCTGTAAAATCGCAAAAGCAAGTCACATTAATTTCCAATAAACGATAGCCATTTTAATCACGTGAATAATTTTGCGGATTAAAATTTAATCCTAAATGTAATCCTCAAATATAATGTTACACTCATCGATGCTGTTCTGTTAAATTTGCTCATGAATCAAAAGATGCAGATAAAAATGATGAACGCTATTTTAAAATCTATTAATTCATACCAGGGGCAATATGAATTCCTTAGGCGGCAATATGAGGCCAAAGCCCTGCCAGCAGCTGGGCCACATCGAACTGCTGAACCACACACATCAGCACGCCTGATCGGTTGTGTGGGGACCTCGCCCCCACCACCCTCCCCAGAACTTTCTGCCGCTTGCTGCGCCCCCGCTTGGCCCGCTGCTTAAGCGCATCCACAGCCTATCGACAATCCAAAAAAAGTGTTCTTCAATAATGGGCAGCTGGTACAGGCAGATTCAGAGTTCAAACCTAATGCCAGGCTTATACACTGCAGGCAGATTAATACACTGGCAGTCGTAAATTAAATTAGTTATGAGTCAGCGCCGAGCCTCAGCATGCTTTAACTTAGAATCAGAACTAAAAGCCTCAGACAACGCTGATACGCCAAGCTATTACTGCTTCGCACTGCTTACAGATAATAGCGCCGTAAGTCCACATGCAGACAGTGCATAAGCAGCTCACTCATAAGCAGGTTGTTCTTCATCTTGCCTCACCTACTCCAGCCTAATTTCTTCTGGCCTAACTTAAGCACGCTGCGCCGACTATCCGATGCTCCGCAGCCAAAGAGACTAGGTTCAGATTTGTTTTGGTCTAGAGTTGATGCACAGTGAGTTGATGCATGAGGTCGACCGCAGAGCTGCCTGCTAATAAGTGAGCAAGGTTGAGCGCGGACTCACCTGTGGACTAACAATGCTATTGCTTCCTACGCCTAATTTCATGGGATAGTATCCCTTGAAGCGTGCTTACCCAAAGGAAGTGGATTTTGGATGTACTGGCCTTTAGAATGCATCCCGTTAAGTTAAAGACGAACCATAGATCCCTGCTTTCGTGTTTGATTTTACAGAAAATTTTCTTGTCCCTGCTTACAGGACATCGAGACCTTCGACTTGGAGGACTTCAAGTACAACTTCGTGAACATGACGGCGTTTAGGCTGGTTGATTCGGACCATTACAGCGTCCGGCAGGTCCTAAAAGATATGGAATCCTTCCAGCCTATAGGACAGCACATCCTTAACAGGTCTCGAGTTATACAGGTGAGCCTTTTATTGCAATACCGGAGCTACTTAAAATGAAAATGGACCTCCAATGATCCATTTTTTTAACATTCATTATTTCTTTAACTGATTAACTGATTAATATCTTTAACTGATTACTTAATCTTGCCAGTGCCGGACGTATTATTGATCTTTTGGTTTTCTAGTGCGTTTAAACAGGCACAGCCGGCGCTGACCTGTACTACAACTACATTTCTAACAACCTTGCTCTACTCACCCCCTAACAAAATTTAGAGTCGTCCCAGCTTCTGGTACTTAAATTCAGAAGCTGACGCGTCTATAAATTTTCACTGGGCCGCTTCTCACACAGTCACAGCCGGCGCTAACCTGCGCCGCGGCTGCAGCTCTAACATCCTTGCACCCCTCACCCATGCCTCGTACAGGCAGAGCCTGCGCTGATGTACGACAGCTGCAGCTCTAACATCCTTGCACCCCTCACCCTTGCCTCGTACAGGCAGAGCCTGCGCTGATGTACGACAGCTGCAGCTCTAACATCCTTGCACCCCTCACCCATGCCTCGTACAGGCAGAGCCGGCGCTGATGTACGACAGCTGCAGCTCTAACATCCTTGCACCCCTCACCCGTGCCTCGTGCAGGCAGAGCCGGCGCTGATGTACGACAGCGTGCACGTGTTCGCCTTGGGGCTGCAGGCGCTGGAGCGCTCGGCCACCCTCCTGCTGGCGAACCTCAGCTGCCACCTCGAGCACCCGTGGGGCGACGGCTCCTCTCTCTTCAACTACATCAATTCGGTGCGTGCATTGTGTTGTGCATTGTGTAGTGCATTGTGTTGTGCATTGTGTTGGGCATTGTATTGTGCATTGTGTGCAGTCAAAGATCATTGATTGGTATTTGATTGTACGTATCAAATATCAATCAATATATCCTTATGACAACAGTATATAATGTCATATTCTACCAGTTATTGTGGATAACTTGGATCATATTTTATTAATTGATTAGATTGATTTAAGACTATCATTCATTAGGCCTGATCCACCATTGTAAAATCTATGAAAAATTTTCAAATTTGGAAATCAATCAAACTCATGAACAAATTTGTTAATTATTTAAACCGAGGATGAGACAATGGCTGTAATAGAATTTCAAGTTAATTTGAATCGTAGGCAACTAAACCTGTTGAAATACGATAGAATACGTGAATGGTCTTCATTATAGAAAGCATGTGCGGTGGCAGGTCGAGTTCCGAGGCGTGACCGGCCCGATACAGTTCAAGGAGGGGCGGCGCATGAACTTCAAACTTGACCTGCTGAAGCTGAAGCAGCATTCCCTGGTTAAGGTGAGCATGATATATTCACGATATAGGAAAAATATGAACACCTATCCAAAAATAATAAAATAGGTAATCGTATGTACTGAATAAGTATTCTTCTTTTTGAATTACGAATGTAATTTCGTTTATCACTGATTTTAAACAATTTACAATTTTGATTTAAGTAGAAGCCAAGTCTTTTAGCCAAAGTACGTTGAATTATTGACAGGTGGGTGAGTGGTCGAGCAACGTGGGTGTGAACATCACAGACCGAGCAGCCTTCTACGACTCAGGCACCATGAACGTCACGCTACTCATCACCACTATACTGGTCAGTGGCTGGGGGAGTACTTATGGTGCTTGCAGTAGTCATCATAGTTTGGTGCGGGGAAGATTTAAGATTAAACTGCAGCGGAAATATTATAAATTATCTCTAATAATGCTTGTAATTGTGGAGAAAAGTCTTAAGAAAAACTCAAAACTGGAGCGAAGATGATTTAATGTAGGGAAGTTTGACCGCCGTCCGCAAACTGGCACTATCGAGAGAAAAGCTCTCTCCAGGCAGTATAAAGAAACAGCAGAACTGTGATAATAGTGGGGATACATGATTTCTTGTGACTAATTAATACAAAATTATCTAAAATTAAGAAGACAATTGACTAAATGCTAAAAAAAATACGAAGAGAGCAAAATATTTGGCAAATAACGAATTTCAGAAGCTCGAAAATTAGCTACTTGAACTGTTACCTTTAAGGTGATTGCTCATTGCGAATGACTTTTATGAAGGGAATTACATTTTTTTCTCCCAGAAAAATAGATTATCATGCAAATTATCTTAATAAACATCAAGATCTATCATGCAGTAAACATATAAAGATTAATGTTAGTGAGTATAGATGCAAAGTAAAATTGTCCAGACATGATTGGTGGAATCGAGACGATGAGAACTTTATTAGCGCCTCGCGCGTCCTAAGAACCTTTCTCCGCACCGAAGGAGCAGCCGTTCATTATGATGAGACCTGGCAAGAACTACACCGGCAACAACCGCTTTTTCGGCTTTTGCGTTGATCTTCTGAACGAAATTTCGAAGCACGCAGGCTTCGACTACATCATGGAGCTGTCCCCCGAGGGGGTTTACGGGGCTATGAACCCCATGACGGGCGAGTGGAACGGAATCGTCAAGCAGCTCATTTCTGGCGTAACGACTCAAGTGTTAAGGTGCTTCTACACGGGGCCATTAGTGGCGTCCAGTAAAATTTTCAAATGCTAACTGCCACTAATTTCCCTGATACTTGCCCCGTGAAAAGGTTACTGGGTCCTTCCGTGGCCAGTAGAACCGATACACGAAGCCAATAGCGCCGTAATTTGAAAGTTGTACTGGCCGCCACTACTGTCTCCGTGAACATGCACCTTTATTGTTGAGTACTGAAGCTGATAGCTGCTGCTGATATAAAGGCTATAATTGTGACGTAATTAAATGCTTAGAAGCTAGGTACTAATAGAAATGAGATTACACAAGCTTTTTAATTGGGCGTACTTAGCGTGTAATCTCTGAGCATCAGAATGCTTTTATTTTTATGGTTGTGACTTGACGCTGAGCGCTGTCTCTTGTGAGGCAATGTAGCTTAATTTTACAGTAAGGGCAAATTCGTATTGTAGAAAATATATTAACAGTTAACATTTATGAACACTATTTTACTCCTCTGAGATACTCAAATTTATTAACTATAATCCGTAGATTGAGTAGAAGTGTAGCTGCTAAATTGACCGCTCACGCGTTGTACATTTTCGATAAGACGACAAATGTAAGGTGAAACATTCAAGGAAGACTCGGATTCCTACTACAAGCTCTGCACGCGTGTTATTTGTGTAGAAATTATCTTATAACGGCTATTACAAGCACTAGTTGCAAAGCATTTAAAATTTTCAAACCCCAGGACTTGCGCACATGCAGTTTCTAAATATATTAAGGTACTTACTTACTCTCTTTATGTGATTAATTCAAGTTCTATTTCACATAATGAATAAGCTGAATACACGCCTCGCAGACGCGATAATTTTGACAACACTTGCACAATAGATTAACATTCATCATGAATTAGATAGGCGTGTATGATGTCGATGGATCGGAGGCGCTCACGATGAATATATTGAGCTTTTAATTAGCATTCAGGGACAGCCGCCCCGATCCTTCCCGCCCTCTATTAATTTCCATGGCTTTCTTACGGAACGGCTTCATGAAGAAAAAGTTGTAAAAGATAAGTAAGTAGTAAAAGATTTCTATGTACTTTCTATAAATAACAATTGCAAAACAAAAAGGTCAAACGCAAAACAAAATTAAAAAAACGATAGCCAGAATTCTTGCACTCGCCCCATGTTTCACCTAATTGTTGCGAGTTTAGCTTCTAGGCTGGTAGTAAATCGTCTAGAAACAACATTTATCTGGCCTTAGGGCCTTACTATCGAGACTTGCCTAAATACACGTCAAGGCCTAATTATACGTAGCGGCCGATTTCTCATCAGTCATTGGTATGTTAACTTTATAAGCCGTCAGTTCTTGGCCGATTGAGCTACAAACTCCTATTTTTGATAGTACGGCCCTTGAATGCGAAGATTTCCTTCGAAGTTTTATTCAATTATTAACGCAACCTGCAGTCACATTACGTCACTATATCTCCATACTTGAGTATCTGAGCATACTAGAATAAGCACTAGTCACCGTACTGAAGATATGCTCGCTCTCCCGCCTCATTCAGCTTTACGAATCCATGCTGAACATTGCAATATCCTGGTATCTGATTGAAATTTTCAAATTTATACTTCCAGATCCGTTTATTGAAATTCTTGAATTTGTTAAATTGCTATGTACTTTAAACTGAAAACTATACGAACAATGCTGCCAGTATTTAGAACAGCCAGCCATTTTATTTCCCCGTGTTTCAAAACATTTGTTTATTTCCTCAAAATAATTGCAGTAAAATACAAGAAAATTTTGTACGTTTAATCCTTCAAGCAACCATGGGAGATAAATATTTTTTTAATTTTCAATCTTTTTAGCAAATAAGGTTGTTAGAGTGATTTTTTTAATTAGTGTATCTGTCCAGAGCTGAGAGAGGCAGGCATAAATTGAAGCGTGCCAATCTTCACATCCGCTCCTGTCATCGCTTCAACCATCCCAGGCTCCAAATTAATTAAAACGGCTGCAAGTAGCGGATCGAATTTCAACACACGTGCTTCATTTCTTTTTCAAGATTTAATGCCTTGAGAGCTATTAGCGGAGTCGTGCAGGAACAACTTAACATTTCGTAAAGTCCCAATAGGCATGGTTTCCATAAACCGGGAATCCTGAATTAAGATACTGAATTAAGATTTACTGATAACCCCACACATTTTAATGGGACAGCAAGACCCGTACGTGATGTTGGCCGGGGATGCTAACGTGACGGGCAACGCTCGCTACAAGGGCTTCTGCATCGACATGCTCGAGAGCATCGCGCGGATGTCGGGCTTCCAGTACGTCATCCGCCCCAACCCGCAGCGCGTGTATGGCATCCGCGACGCCAAGACCGGAGAGTGGAACGGCATCGTCAGAGAGCTCATGGAGAACGTGAGTTATAGCAACTAATTTGAGTGTAGGAATTAATCTCTAACGAAATTCGGGCACGCCCCAGGTTTTTACCGATGATTCGCAACATTCGGCTTAAAGTTATTTTGCGTCTGAATGGCCACCCGATCGAAATCAGCTTCTGTTCTGAATCTCCCTTCTGACTTTATATACGTCTGAGAGTTTGGCAAGGGTTGGCCGAACCGAGTAATGCCGAGCTTGCAAGCGGTTTAGAGGCTGCCCTTCAAACCCTAAGCCGAAGCGAACGCAGAGCGGCTTATTCACGTGCCCCCGAGACCTAGATGGCATCTGTTGCCGCGTCAGTCCCGTATCTAAATTTTGTTAAGAATGTGAGTGTAGGAACTAAAGTGAATGGAGGAGACCAACGTGAGTGTCGGAACTAACTTGAGTGTAGAAACTAACATGAGTGTCTTAACTAACGTGAGTGTTGGAACTAATGTGAGTGCCGAAACTAACGTGAGGGTAGAAAATAACGTCAATGAAGGAAATAACGTGAGTGTATATAGATATAAACGTGAGTGGAGGAACTAACGTGAGAAGAGGAACCAACGTGAGTGTATGAGATTGTAGAGGGGAAGAGAAGGATTTCTAAATCATCATGAGTAAATGGATGAATAATAAATTAGATATCGCAAGAAAAGCTGGGCAAGAGTTATTACTATATGAAGGTTAAAACTTCGAAGACAATTTTCAACTTAATATAATTCGCGAGTTGAAAGAAGGAATAAAAGTTTGGTCGCCGATTACTAATTTTGAACAAATGACTCGGTACAAGCGAAAAAAATTCATGACTACGAGCATTAGGTTGGTGAATAATAGTAGGCCTCTGACGCGTGCAATTGATAGCATTTCTTTCAAATTACGATGAATATTTTGCGTTCATCAAAATTACACACCGAGACTTTAAAACACGTAAAAATCATATTATTGTATTTTGATTATACCAGTAACTAGAATTCAACGTAGCAGCCAGTTTTGCCGAGATTATTTTCCTATATGCGTAAGCTATTCTCTTGCTGTTAGTTGAGTAAATGCATATATCCTGCGAATTGAAAGTAGATAATTAGAAGCAACGCAGACGCCAATTTAATTTGCCTTGATTATTGGTTTTCTGCTTTTATTTAGAAAAAAAATCTTTGTAAATGTAGTTCTGTCTGCCGCCAAGTAATATAAATTGAATGTTTATATATGACGCTTTCGCAATCAAAATGTTTATTTTAGTTAATTCTGGGGTTAAATTTTAAGTTGTACGTGTGCCTGGCTAGTAAATGGCTAAGCATGTATTATAATAATAATATCTTGCTGAATTTACTCCAGTACTTGAGTAACGCCGAGATTTATTTGATGTTCTTTTTCTTGGTGGTCAAAATTTACGCTGAAAGTAATATTCGAACGTAATATTGAATGATTTAATATGAATGATTTAAATAGGATTCCCTTTGAAATATGATAAAGAATCTAGAAAATCTCTTAACTATCACAAACAAGAAACAGAGCAAGTTTTCGAGTCAAATTACTTCAAATTCTCGCCGTTACAAGTTGAAAGTGAATAAAATTAGTTCATGAATAGAGCGAGTTTCAATAATGGAATTTATAAGCTAATATCAAATGGCACCTCACACGGCCGCAGAAAGCGGACTTGGCCATCGGCTCGATGACCATCAACTACGCCAGGGAGAGCGTCATAGACTTCACCAAGCCCTTCATGAACGTGGGCATCAGTATACTCTTCAAGGTGAGCGTCATAGACTTCACCAAGCCCTTCATGAACGTGGGCATCAGCATACTCTTCAAGGTGAGCGTCAGAGACTTCACCAAGCCCTTCATGAACGTCGGCATCAGCATACTCTTCAATGTAAGAAGGAGCATACTTTTGAAAGTGGGCTTTAGAATGCTCTTCAGGGGGAGTATCATCACACCCTTCAATGCGAATATACCCACCTTGTTGTCGGAAGTGACCTTACTCATTTCTGATAATACTTTCAATTTTTACTCAACAGATGTAATAAACTTCCTATTCCTTCTTACCGTTCGCAAAAGAATGTCAAGATCTCTCACTTAGTGAAGTTCTTGCAGGAATGTGTTGATCTCTCTATTAATGGACGACAATCCATCACAAAGTCTTTAAGTTCGCAGCTGCAAACTTTCTAAGTTCCATGACCAAGAACCTCACACGCCCGACGGCCGAAGTACTTCAACTGCAAAAATCATTCTTCATATCATATCTAGGAATCATTTGTTCAATGATTACATCAAACTTTTCGGCAAACGTTGACCAGAAGTCAAATTTTAATCAAGTTGCCCATTTTAAAAATGTCGGCTCAGATGTCAGGCAGTGATTTTATTTTTACTTGGAGATTATCTCCTTCGTGAATAGATCGCAAAGCTCAAGCAAAACTAGTTAAGTTTTCAATGAATGAAACTTAAGCTAACGAGACGCTGATTCCTTGAGTTCACTATAATATTTGACAACACCGGTAATCTTCTTAACCCAAATTCAACCATAAAAACACCCATTCCAAATCGAGGATAAGACCCAATACGTCGTATCATATTTTAGATCGAAACAATTGCATACCACAGATGCATGCCAATACCCCGAATATGAGACCAATATGCAGGTTTACCACATAGACCCGCGACCGGGAATCTAACAGCAGCAAATCGGAGTGCACAGGCTCGGAGTCAGTATTCCATCATGGAGGAATGTCACCAAATGTGGTGGTAAGTGTTACTGCTTTATTACTGTAATTTAAATGGAATGTAAGAAATTTTTCTCCGTAAACGGGATTCAAGGTTTCCTTTAACATGCGTATCACCGATAGCCACACTCCCGTGTACCGGGCATGTCGTATCACCGACAGCCCCACTCCCGTGTACCGGGCATGTCGTATCACCGACAGCCCCACTCCCGTGTACCGGGCACGTCGTATCACCGACAGCCCCACTCCCGTGTACCGGGCACGTCGTATCACCGACAGCCCCACTCCCGTGTACCGGGCATGTCGTATCACTGATAGCCCCACTCCCGTGTACCGGGCATGTCGTTTCACCGACAGCCCCACTCCCGTGTACCGGGCATGTCGTATCACTGATAAATGATTGAACTCGCGATCCTGTGTCACGAGTAAAACCTACCTTCATGAATAAGAGTAATTACGAATATTGTAACATGCTACGAATAATACCGAGTTATCCGGCCACGAATATGACCTGCGATGTCATGCCACGAATATGACCTGCGATGTCATGCCACGAATATGACCTGCAATATCATGCCACGAATATGACCTGACACCATGCCACAAACGAGCCCTATATGCAGCCCCACACTATACGGCGCCAGCGCGACCTCCCAACGCTGTTCAAATTTACCATCTCCGAGAGGGGCGCGACATGAGGGCTCTTCCTCAGCGAGTCATGGCCCGCTGATCCTTCTATTGTATAATTCCGTGTAAACACTTCACTCGAGGGACTTACCCTCACATTCATAGAAATTATATTAGCGAGGCTGCGTTCAAATAGCGATGCCCTCTCTCCTCGTGCGTGAGGGTAAACCTCATACAGTTAGGCTCGGCAAGGGAACGTATCTGTCCTACGTCCGTTTTCTGCTCGTTCTGATGGTAAATGTTTGGACAATGTGATCCATTCCTTGTTGTGAGTGCAGTGTGCAAGCTGCTTCATGAGTACATAAAATACACTAATTGTATTTATTTTTTGTTATGTTTTACGGCCATTTTAATCAAATTCTTTTTGCCTTCTGATTTTAATGTTCGAAAAAAAAAACTTCAAATGACGGAACTATTCAAAAACTGTGTTTGTTCTGTGAATAAAATGGATGTTCATCATCTCTGCACTGGAAAGAAAACCTGATTTATGGCGATTTCTTAATTTAATAAAAAAAATTTACAAATTACTTTATTGCCGCTTTAAGGGAATACGTGATCGCGTATCTACTGGTTAATTAATCATATTGATGAATAAAGACACCGTTTGTCTGCATGATGTACAGAGTTATTAAAGGAACTGAAGAATTTGTAGTTTCCGACAAATAAGTCTCAGTTTGTTATATAATAATTAATGCGTTTCAGAAAAGTGTTTTTACTTTTATCAAACTCTTTGAATTTCCCTTAAAATATTTCCATACTCACGTCAACAAGTTTGCTCACGTTCTGTTAGATTATTCTATTATAAATTAATGCATTAATAGAAAGTTTTCCAATCGAGTTTACTCAAATCTACGGTATTTCCTAATAACATTAGCATATATAATCATTCTGTTTGTCAATTATTATTAATACGCACATTTGATAACAAGTTTTTCAATAACATAGCTCAAATCTCCGGTATATTAACGAACAAAAATTCTTCTCCGAATGCCCAGACCTACGGTATTTCCTAATAACGTTAGCATATGTCATCATTTTGTTTGTCAACTAATAATGCACGCATTTGATAGCAAGTTTTTCAATAACATAACAAATCTCCGGTATATTAATGAAAAAATTTCTTCTCTGACATGGCCATACCTACGGTATTTCCTAATAATATTAGCATATGTCATCATTCTGTTTGTCAATTAATAATGCACGCATAAGTTTTTCAATAACATAACTCAAATATCCCGTATATTAATGAAAAAATTTCTTCTCTGACATGGCCAGACCTACGGTATTTCCTAATAACATGCATATATCATCATTCTGTCTATCAATTAATAATACATGAATTTGATGGCAAGTTGTTCAATAACATAACTATAATTTCCGGTATATTAATGAACAAAATTTATTCCCCGAATGTCCAGGTGCCGACGCGCGAAGAGACGCGCCTGTTCTCCTTCATGAACCCTCTGGCCATCGAGATCTGGCTGTACGTCCTGGCCGCCTACATCCTGGTCTCCATCACCATGTTCATCGTCGCCAGGTGATATTGCCATGTTCATCGTCGCCAGGTGATATTGCCATGTTCACATGTTCATCGTCGCCAGGTGATATTGTCATGTTCATCGTCGCCAGGTGATATTGTCATGTTCATCGTCGCCAGGTGAACTGTAGTGACCATGCATGTTCATCGTCCCTAAAGTGCGAAATTGTGCTTTACTGCTAATTCAGAGGTGCACCATTACTAAAAAGGGACGTACGCAGAATTCCTCAATTCTTAACATATAGCCCTGAGTACTCCTCGACTTTTAACAGAGACCAGACTATATTGCTCGCCAGGTTCTCGCCCTACGAATGGCACAACCCGCATCCGTGCGCCCGCGACAGCGACGTCGTCGAGAACCAGTTTAGCCTCAGCAACTCCTTCTGGTTCACAATCGGCACCCTCATGCAGCAGGGTTCAGACCTCAACCCTAAGGTAAACTTGTAACCCTTGTTACGTTTCTCCTTTACTCGAGAGTGGCAGACCTTCTGGTCGCAATAACTGCAGGCACTCCTGTTCGTTTCCTTAGCCTTATAATAAACTACTAGTCACAATTTATTCCTTATGAGGAGTTGTTTGTGGCTTGAATTATCCCTACAGGTTTTCCATCTCAATACTCGTAGATCTCTCAACTTGATATTGGCTCTAAGTCTTCCGTCCATAACTTTATAATCCACAATAAACATAATTAAAGGCATGCTCGACCCGCATCGTGGGCGGCATCTGGTGGTTCTTCACTCTGATCATCATCTCGTCGTACACCGCCAACCTCGCCGCCTTCCTTACCGTCGAACGCATGATCACACCCATAGGTGAGTCATATAGGTGAGTCCTATGGGTGAGTAATGACTACCGCAGGCTTTACCGATCACCCCCATAGCTGAGTTATGTAGGTGAGTCTTAGAGGAGATTCATGACAATCGCGCATTCATTACCCATCACGCTCATAGGTGATTCACACCTATCTAATTCATGACCTACCCAAGATAACAGCTCTGCGGAGAGTGCCGGCAATGTGAATAGCGTAGATACAAAATGATTGTTCACTAGTTCTCATGCTCATGCATTTAAAACGGTACTCCTTTATACAAGCCCCTTAAAAACTTAGGGAATAACTTGTACTACATAATTACTGGTTACTTTCTATTAGCAGACTATAATCAAATGTCATGGTAATCCATTTTAATTATTAAAATGCGAGAAAACAGTAATTCAGCATTAAATAGAATGATACTGACAAGCACACAGACACAATTAAAACCTTTGACATATTGCGGCCAATCGGCTGTATAACTTGCGTGTGTAAATAATCTCTAAATAACAGGTAAAAATAATATATCCAAAGGATTGCATTAAGTTAACCTGCCAATTTGATTGCCGTGTAAAAAACAGATGGGTTTCCCGTTGATGGCATAATGATACGTGTACAAGATCATGTACAAATAGTGTGATGGCTTGGAGCCCAACCAGCAGTTTGCTGCATACTGATCAGCCTGACTAGATTAGACGACCATCTTAACCTGATCTTAAGTAGCAAGAGCAGCAGAAGTGCGATAAACTGAAGCTAAATTCCAGTAGGACAACTGTCAGCTATTTGGCTAGCAGCAGCGTGCATAGTTCATGCCCAGGGCAGCGTGCCCAGCAGCAGCAGCGTGCATAGGTCATGCCCAGAGCAGCGTGCCCAGCAGCAGCAGCGTGCATAGGTCATGCCCAGAGCAGCGTGCCCAGCAGCAGCAGCGTGCATAGGTCATGCTCAGAGCAGCGTGCCCAGCAGCAGCAGCGTGCATAGGTCATGCTCAGAGCAGCGTGCCCAGCAGCAGCAGCAGCAGCGTGCTCAGGTCATGCTCAGAGCAGCCTGCCCAGCAGCAGCAGCAGCAGCGTGCTCAGGTCATGCTCAGAGCAGCCTGCCCAGCAGCAGCAGCAGCAGCGTGCACAGGTCATGCTCAGAGCAGCGTGTCCAGCAGCAGCAGCAGCGTGCCCAGGTCATGCCCAGAGCAGCGTGTCCAGCAACAGCAGCCTGCCCAGGTCATGCCCAGAGCAGCGTGTCCAGCAGCAGCAGCAGCGTGCTCACGTCAAGCCCAGCTCAGCAGCAAGGCGCTGCCCCTGCATTGTTACGAGCTATGGAGATCCCGCGGCCAATATCAGCTCATCACATGAAGGCTCCACTACATCCGCCTTAGACTCTCAAGGGCGCGGAGAATGTGTGTGAAAATTGTGTTTGGGGATAGAGTAGAGTGATTGTGTGTTGTGATTGTGTGTTGTGATGGAGTTGAGTAATGGTGTATTGTTTGCTGTGTGTTTGATAAGGTGCTATAGCTCTTCACTCTAATCACGAGAAAATATGAGCCTACTTCGAAGAAAAAAAACTAAAAACGTTGAAATTTTATTGAGTACATTGGATTGACATCACATTTTCCTGCTGCTACGACCAGAGGACGCCGAGGCGCTGGCGAGTCAGACAGAGATCGCTTACGGCTCACTGGGCAGCGGCACAACCCAGAGCTTCTTTAGGGTAACTGCGCTGTTCCTGTGTACAAAACTTACCCTGCATGTCTGCCTTTGTACAATAAGCCCCTCTTCGCTACCCTGCATGGTTATTTGTGTTTATCTGCCATGAGTGTTTATCTGTTTAGAAAACGTATGATGAATATTTATATGGGCATTAAAACCTAGTATCTTTAGCTGTGCACAAAATGTAGCATGGAGCAAAAATTTAGCCTGCATGTCTATTTGTGTATAATATCCAATTTGAACGTTTATCAACTTTATAAATTTATTTATTTTTTTTTGTCTAGCCCTATATGAGGAGGCTTTTCTGCTGGTTGCAGTCGGCCTGCATGTTTGTCAATTGTCCCGAATGCGCTTTTTCTTGCATGTAAACCTTAGTGTTATCACAACTGAGCATAAATCATCTCGAATGCTCTGAATAATAATTAGTAAATAACCACAGAAACGCATTCATACATCGTAAGAACGAAGCGCTGGAAATTTAGGCCTGACATTTGGAGGAATCGGACGAATTAAGTGTCTTTTTTCGCGCTACCAACATTCCACTAATTCTCAGACCTAGTTATTCTTTATTTATTTGTGTTTCAACGTATTCATTTTTTTGCACTGATATACAATCAACTATTTAGAATGGATTGCGAACAATAATCTTGATTTCCCCCCAATGTTTTCACGGATCATGTTTAACCTGAACCACATTCAGGATGCACGGAAAAAAGGCTCTCCAGAAGTAACCAAAGGACGGTTATGTCGCTCTTTCTTCTTCAAAGCTAATAAAGTTCTTACGGTCGCCGGTTTTGGGCGTTCGCATATTAGCACTATTATAAAATTTTGGCTCATGCATCTTTAAAAATAATAAATTTAGCACAAACATCAGGTTAGCAGACACAGCAGTTTTATAATAATATTTAAAAACGTGGGTTGGTGATGCATTAGATACCAAATTTTCATTTTACTTGAGCCTCATACAAGTGTCAGCTTTTGGACCGCGAGAATCAAACATTGGTCCAACTACATGAAATTTATATCTGCGATATACTGGTCACTGATAAATACCTGTATCCTTATTCCTGCGCTCTATAGTTGCTGAGGCAATCCTTTATTTAAAAGCTAACCAGAACTTGTAAGGATTTTTTTAGTTTTACTATTGAATCTGCATTTTAAAGTAGATTAGAAAATCAAATTTTTTCATTATACATTTAAGCTTCATTCAATATAAATTACTGTAATAAACTTTAAATTAATTTATAGAATTTTTGCTCTATTACTCGAATTAATTTTATACTACTCAAATTATTATTGATATATTACTCAAATTAATATTACTCAAATAAATATTACTCGTACTAATAGAACTTTCGTTCTATTGATCTGAGCATAAAAGACTCTATTTGCTAGAGAACAATCCTCTATGATTGGTTTTAATTATTTTAATTATCATACAAATTGTCGTGCGTTATCCCAATTTTATCAATATATTTTTTTTTAATATTAATGATGTTGAACAAATAGCATCAATATATCAAATATTGTTGAAGGAGCCGAATATGAAATATTTTTAGCATAATATATAAATTCAGAGCAAACGTCCTTATACTAGCTGGTGACGAGGTGGGATCTTACAACGACGACTTGTATTGGTCATGCTAAGTAAGCTGTCGGTTCGTTGTACTCAAAGTCTAGTTGTTCTAATGTCGTTTCCTTCAAATTGAGTTTGAAAATGGCACCCCAGATGCCTCACCATCACAGCTCCAATATTTTTTTTCGGAAATCAACACTGCAGGCATACGTCTGGCGAGGTTTGGGCTTCATCTTAGAAACATTTGGAAACGCTGATGGAAAACATTTCTTAAACATTGAAATATATTCATGGACCCGTACTTACGACGCTTAAATCTAGTAATTATGGCGGTCGAAAGTTCAACTTTCTGAGAGTGTTCACGTTAGTGATATGCTAGATTTAACTCAATGAATATATCAATACGGGATTTTACGACCTCGTTATATTTATTTATACGATCTCATTATTAAAACGAAACACATCCATAACTTGACATTATTAAATGTGATGCACGATCTCACTTCACAATATAACAAATTAATGAATCCGTGCATGCGCTCATTTTCTTTTGTTGTGCATTTCTATGTTCTTTACATGAATAGTTGAAATGTGGCTGCTTTCTTTGCACAGCTGCTAGCGAACCACAAAATTAGCAAATGAATATATTTTCAGTTATTTCACTTTATTTATACAAAATGCACAGCAGACAACTTTTTCATGAATGTGAACTACACTCACCTGTTATTTTTTTGTCGTGCTCTGTTTTTCCTCGATGTTTCCCAAACTCAGCCGGTTGTCGGATCTTTATTTTATGTGCCTTTTTTTAATTCTTCACAGAAGAAGTAGACGACCTCGCCGCACAAACGGACATTTCCTACGGACTCGTCAATTCTGGTTCCACGATGACATTTTTCAGGGTAATTTATCCAGGGAAACTTATTTAGGGCAACTTATTTAGGGTTAGCAAATTGAGTGCAAATTGTTCATCAAATTACTTGGAATGATTTACAATTGTCTTCAAGCACGTTTTTTTATTAAATATTTTTAGCAATTTTCTGGCATTTTCTTCAAAAGCTTTTATGTGTTTGCAAAAAATACTTTGTCATATATGAGATACTCAACCATAATTTTGAGGTCAAAATCGGTCTGGCGTGCGATAACATAATATTGAACTAATTCGGACATCAGTAACGTGCCTGTAATCTGAACTGCTACTTGTTACATTCATTATTAATATCATTATTATCGTAGATGCTTAGGTTATCTAAATTTTAATTTAACTTTATTAGCCATAGCGATGATTAGTTATCATCTATAACGCTATTCTCTATAAAGCCTGTTGGACTTGCACGACAGCCCGCTGTTAATATAATTGTAACTATCATTCCTAAGTCCAGTAGCCGTATTGAGGCATAAATGTACTTCTTGCCACTGAATGTTTTCAATATCACTGTAGTCTGCACTCTTTTCGGAGCATGTCGTAGATTATTAATCAGTCTTACTACAAAATATTTTGAATTCTGCATATATAGTCGATTAAATTGGACCTGATTAATTTTGTGTAGTTTGAATGAAGTTTTTTCTGGAATGCCAAAATTTTTAACAACAGGAGTGTCTGCTCGAATTAGTAAGGCTATTGCCCGTTGCTTGCACGAGTGAAATATTAATGGTAAAACCCAGCTCTCCATCCCTCCAAGGTCGTGTCTGTTTTATTAACTGGTTGAATCATGAGTTTAATATTGAATGAAACTTAGCAGTTTCATAACCACACATGGAATCTGAAAATAAAATATCCCTAAGATAATTTCGTATTTACCTATTTACAAATATTCTTGGAAAATGTATTATGAAGTTTGCTGCATACCTTTAAAGATTTATATAACCCCCTAAATTATAATATTGCAGACTTTCAAATAGGTTAATAATCCAAAAAATTTAAATCTTTCCCTCACCTGCAGTTGCTGGGTAAAGAGTCGCAAGACTATCATAAGGAAAAACTCCAAGTACTTTTGTTGTAGAGAAGAGTTAAATAGGGACCAGATGAGTCCTCCCATGCCTTACTTTTCCTTGATACCATATTACTGCCTATAATTAGGCAGTAATATTGATTTACTGCCAATAGCGTCTTATTACTCATAAATGAAGTAACGATGACACGTATATCCATTTTCAGGACTCTAAGACCGAGACGTACCACAAGATATGGCGGTTCATGGAGAACAAGAAATAAATTATATAATTTCCTATATATCCCCACACCAGGACTCTATGATCGAGACGTACCAGAAGATGTGGCGGTTCATGGAGAACAAGAAATAAATTATGTAATTTCTTATATATCCCCACACCAGGACTCTATGATTGAGACGTACCAGAAGATGTGGCGGTTCATGGAGAACAAGAAATAAATTATGTAATTTCTTATATATCCCCACACCAGGACTCTATGATCGAGACGTACCAGAAGATGTGGCGGTTCATGGAGAACAAGAAGCCGTCGGTGTTCGTGCGCAGCTATGACGAAGGCGTGCGTCGTGTGCTGGACGGGAACTACGCGTTCCTGATGGAGTCTTCACTACTGGACTACTACGTGCAGCGTAACTGCAACCTTACGCAGATCGGGGGTCTGCTAGACTCCAAGAGCTACGGCATCGCAACGCCCATGGGTTAGCTCTATTTTCCCTGCATTGATGCAGGCTAGGTACTATTCAATGTAGGGAAAGGTACTTTCCCTACATACAAAGGTACTTTCACTAGGTACTACTACAGGCTTGGTACTAGATCAGTACCTTATTTAATAACTTGTCATTTTATATGCTAGGTCCTGCATCAGTAACTTATTTAATAGCTTGTTTTTATATGCTACGTACTGCATCAGTAACTTATTTAATAACTTGTTTTTTTACGTGCTACGTACTGCATTAGTAATTTATTGTTTACATGCTAGGTACAGTATAAATTACTTGCTTTTTACATGCTAGGTAATGCATTAGTTAGGTACTGGTTTTCTCCATGATAAGTATTGAATTGCGTTCTTGTTTTCATGCATGCTAATCGTTTCCTTAATTACTTGAACCAAAATTTTTACAAAAGGAGGTCCATAGGCAATTCGTCATACATTAATTGAAAACCTTCCAGCATCAGTTCTAACGAAGAGTTAAGAGAAAACTAGTAAGAAAACAGAAGGACCAAATTAAAGGGAGCGTCTGGGTCTAAAAATCTGTAAATTTGGCTTCTCTGTTTTCTTGACTCATTTTTTAGCTGCTGAAAAGGCGCTCTAACACAGCAAACCGCATGTAAGTGCGTGCTCTAGTTTTTGCGCAAAGCAATTTAAAAAAAAATTAAAATAAACATTTTTTAACAATATGTACAAAGATTGATTGAAATTAAATCTGTATTTATGGATCATTGTTCTCGTTAATTGTAAATTGTTTGCACTCGTTTGAAAGCTACAAACAAGACGCGTTCAATAAAGCCTATGCCATGGATGTACATGCCATCATTTTTGCGTACCGGTAAGGCTGTTTTGAACTTTTATAAAATGACCATTTTATAGCAATATTTACAAATTTTCATTTGAGAAATTGTATTTATTGATCATTATTTGCGTTAATTGCAAAGTGTTTGTCTCGTTTGAAAGCAACAAACGATGCGCGCTCAAAAAAAGCAATTACCACGGACGTATATTCCATTTTTTTGCGTTAGGCCGTTTTGAACTTATTTACAATGAACATTTCTTATATATATAAAAATCTAAAAAGGTCACATTTATAGCTTACTATTCATGTTAAACTGGACAAAACTATTGCCTAAAGACGCGTGCTGGTAGCTACCCTGTCCACAAATGTAATTAATTGGCAATGTAATAGCTTGGGATACAATATCAAGCAATTTTTTTTTGCATATCCTTCTTTTTCTCAATAAATTTTACTTATTGGCTCTCCTGAACAATTAAAATTTCCAAATTACTCCATCTTAAAAATCTATCTCCTCCTATGATTTTTAAGCTACAGTATTGAGAGATATACCATTCGATTCGTAAAAAAATCTGCGATCCACCGATCGCTTTTTTATTCAGTTTAGTTTTGATCGTTTTAGTTTGGATTCGTTGGGGGAAAAAATGAAAAAATCAGAAAAAGACATCCGCTTCAAATTTGAAAAAATTATAATTATCGGTCGATGTCTAGATATGGTCTTTACGAATCGAACGATATGTCTCTCAAAGTTGTAGTACGTTGATTGAATGATGAGATTTTGATGATTTTTACAGTACCCTTCTTTTCTGCCGCTTTCTATTAATCTCACGTTTTCTTCAATTTTTAAATTTACACCAACAAAAAAGTTATTAATTTCTGTTTTACATGTGTGTACCATGTTTCAAAATGTTCTGTCCGCCAATAATTTTTTTACCCAGACATTAACACGGAATTGTAAATAGATACCAGATTCATACATATACGAATTGCTATGGACTTAATGATGATGGAGCTTGTCCCCGAAAAGTTTTTAATAAGATCGTTGTGAAATAACTTACAGTTTTATTGCGCTCATTATAATATGAACAAACTAACGATCTTGCTTTCATTTCAATGCTGAGAAACCGTGTAGCCATTCGCATTTATTATAGTGAAGAAATGTTCTATAAAATTTAACACGCCATTGGCAACTTGCTCGCACGTCTGCATGTCCAGCAACTCGCACGTCTGCATCTCCAGCAACTCGCACGTCTGCATCTCCAGCAACTAGCACGTCTGCATGTCCAGCAACTCGCACGTTTCAACGCATCGTCGTGTCCTCGTCGTTCACGCGTAGAGAACCACGCGTTTTTTATTCCATTGCCGTCCGCTCTTCACTTGAAGTGACGTGAAGTTAGACGCGAGTTCCCTGGCCGTAACCTGGGGGGACTTTACTTCGTGTACTGAGTTTTAGGTCGGTATTGACGCTCATATATGTGCTTGTTGCGGTGAATATAAAGATGCTTGACGAATACGCAGTCTGGGCAATACGCATTTATTTACTTTAAATAATAGTGTGGGAGAGTCTATTTTAGCTTAGCAGATTATTGCTGCTTCAATTAGTTAACTAAATTGTTGCTGCATTCATAATACATTGTAATTATCAACTGTCGTAGTGCAATGAAGACGGCAAATCTGTTCTCTTCAGCGATTCTGTGACAGAGAAGCACAAATAACTCAGGAATCTGATGACTGGAAATACTTAATTGGAAATAAAAGCGCTTATAGATTTTGTCTGTAATAAATCAATCTGTATTAAATGCATTCGAGGCTGGCGTCAGCTGATGTTCAATTGTTTGTTTTCTTTATCAAACAATTAATTTATAGGTTTAACACATGCATTGTAATATGGAACGTAATTATTAATTTATTTCTTCTTGACAATATTCGACAGCAAAGCTGCTGCCATACTCACGAAGTTAACTGTTCTTTTTTTCTCCTAGAAAGTCTGGGCGAAGATACCCACTCTCGTGAAGGTATCCTTTTACGACACAATTAAGCTCCGGCGTTTCAGGATCGACCTGAGATCCTAGCGAGCGGCATCCGTAATTTGCTTTTTAGAGAGCGTCGTAGCGCTGTGTCGTTCATGGTTCGAGTTTTGGCTGAAGTTTTATTGGGATTAAACGGAACAATTTAGTTCTTGCTCCTGAAAATAACACTGTATAAAATTTATATTAAGCCATAGTACTAAAATGTGGAGCTCTAGGCGCACATTGACGAAATAAAATAAGACAATGTGTTGATTTGGATCAATGCGAAGGACGAGCGAAACTAGCAACAATAACTTCTTTAGAGTCATGGAACTCAAGGAGACCCGAGAAAAAAACTATAACTCAGACGAAACAGTATAACTCAAACAAATATGTATAGCTCAATCAAAATATTAAATAAAATGGTATAGCTATAAAATAGTAGAGCTAAAGGAAACCGGTAGAGTTCTAACAAAACACTATAGCTCAGACAAAACAGTACAGCTCACGCAAAACACTATAGTTCAATTAAAATATGAAATAAAATAAAATGGTATAGCTAATAAACAGTAGATCTAAAGAAAACCGGTACAGTTCAAACATAACACTATTGCTCAAAAAAAACAGTATAGCTCAAACAAAACAGTATTGCTCAAACAAAACAGAATATCTCAAACAAAACACTATAGCTCAAACACAGCACTATAGCTCAAACACAACACTATAGCTCAAACAAAACAGTATAGCTCAAACACAACATTATAGCTCAAACACAACACTATAGCTCAAACAAAACAGTATAGCTCAAACACAACATTATAGCTCAAAGCAAACAGGATATAGCTCAAACAAAACAGCATAGCTCAAACAAAACAGTATAGCTCAATCAAAACACTATATCTCAAACTAAACATTATAGCTCAAATAAGACAATGTAAACAACCGATAACATTTTTTAGCAAGTCTCATAAATATTTTCTTAACTTTGATCTCGGTTACTGAGAGCAAGTTTTCCTAGATAAGAAAGTTTAAGTTGCCAACTCTGACGGCTCTAAACAGCACGAACTCGGTCGACAACGCTGTGCTTCTAGCAACGCTCTATACAACGCTGCGTTGATGCGATGGTCTCGATGGTGATGATGTGATGAAAGATGATTTGACGACAGTTGATGCGATAAAAGATAATGTGATGGAAGATGATGCAATGAAAGAGGATGCGACGACAGTTGAGGCGATGAGAGATGATGTGACGACAGTTGATGTGATGAAAAATGATGTCATGACAGTTGATGCGATGGAAGACGATTTTCCGTAAATTTCTGTATTGCTCGGCTCTCGTGGTTACAACAGAGATGACCACGCTGAAATATTTATGCACGGGCACCGTAAATGTTACCCCCGTGGCAGACATTTTACGCGACACTGGTTGTAAAAGTCTCTAAACAAGCCCAATTATGTCGTACGTTGTTGCACTATCGCTTTCAACTTTCTTATCTCACATCACGAAATTTCAGCTACAACTCGCCTGCATCGCCACGCAGGCGAGAATAACATCTGATACTCGCCTGCACCGCCACGCAGGCGAGAATAACATCTGATACTCGCCTGCACCGCCACCGCGCAGGCGAGAATAACATCTGCTACTCGCCTGCAGCACCGCGCAGGCGAGAATAACATCTGCTACTCGCCTGCACCACCGCGCAGGCGAGAATAACATCTGATACTCGCCTGCACCGTCGCGCAGGCGAGAATAACATCTGCGCCTGAATTTGTTTTTCAGTGCATGGCTCGCGGCGCCTCCTGTGGCGGGAGTGAGATGGATTGTCCGAGGCTTTTACACGCCGGGCGGTTCTTTTTTTTTGGAGGGGGGGGGAAATAAACGGGGGAAAGGAGACGTATTGTGGGGAAAATAAAGGGGTAAGGGAGAAGTAATACCGGGAAAGCCATGGGTAAAACTACGTGGGAACTTTGTGAAGAGAGAGCGTCAGGTCAGAAGGTTGGGAGCAATGGGGAAAGACAATGATATGGGATATGTATTGAGAGAATGCGCATAAAGGAGGTATGAATTTAAAGAATTTTAACAAGTTTATGGTGACTTAGAAAAAACCATCAACATTATAGAGTAGATTCGAAACCCTCAAACCCATTAATGAATATAAACCTAATTATTTGGCGAAACCAAGTAAGCGAGGGCAAAACATCCGCAGTGTTTGCTGAACTAGACAATAAAGGCATAAAACAGACGTAATATTCGATCAAAGCACAGAAGGGAAGCTACGGAGCCCTTCTGTCTGGGGTTCTACTTTATACAACGTCTTTTTCCTACTCCGATTTCAACCCCAACCAGCGTAAGCCCTCACACCCCATCCTTCCTTGGATATAAGTAAAGTTTATTTTTTCCTTTCAATACCATATTAAATTAAAAGTACCGCTAAATGTAAATTAGAACACTGTGATAAGTCTACGGACATTTCCCTCCTCGTTGCAGGCTCGCCGTGGCGGGACAAGATCTCGCTGGCAATCCTGGAGCTGCAGGAGAAGGGCGTCATCCAGATGCTGTACAACCGCTGGTGGAAGGACACCGGCGACACCTGCAACCGAGAGGACAAGAACAGCGAGAGCAAAGCGTCCGCACTCGGTGTCGATAATATCGGTCAGTTGGTCGTCATTAGTGTTGCTTATATTGATGATAAAAAATGTAATATTATTCACCGGTGACACCTGCAACCGCGAAGACAATCAAGAACAGCGAGAGCAAAGCGTCCGCACTCGGTGTCGATAATATCGGTCAGTTGGTCCTCATTAGTGTTGCTTATATTGATGATAAAAAATGTAATATTATTCACCGGCGACACCTGCAACCGAGAGGACAAGAACAGCGAGAGCAAAGCGTCCGCACTCGGTGTCGATAACATCGGTCAGTTGGTCCTCATTAGTGTTGCTTGTATTTATGATAAAAGATGTAATATTATTTCGTCTTGGAAAAACTATTGATGGTAATATTGCGCCGTGGCAGGTCATTTTAACAGTGATGAAAGTTATGAATGGTATGAGTTTGGTCGATAAAAGTTATTATTACAACCGATAATAGTTATTACAAAAACCGATTGATAAACTTCTAAACTTCTATCCGTGATAGAAGTTATTGCATTATTGTGTCAGGGAAATATTAATGTCGCCATTGATAATGATTATGGAGCTATTTGTGAGGGCGAGTTCTGGAATTTCCAGTGCTGGGGAGTGTGAACGATGTAAATTATTTTTAATATCAGGTCGATAATAAAAGCGGTCTCGGAACATATTGCCTCGCTGCTACAACACTTACACTACTGCCTATTTCCTTGCGGAAAGGAGCAGTTTCTTAGTAATTATTTATTCCCGGAGCTATTCGAAGTCTAGAAATTGCAATGTTCGAATGTCATCAGTAAGATATAATGTATTCATGCAAAGAATTAAAAATAGCGTGATTTGATGAAACATTTACAAGCTAATTTATGAATTGGAATTAAGGATTGCGAAATAGTATTTAATTATAAAAATTATAGCCTGACATTTGAAAAAGACCAGACCAGTGCTCCGTTTCATTTTGCTCCGATTCTCGTTGTTTATCATGAAATATTCTCTACGAACTACTGCGTCAATGAATTGAAACGCTCGTGTAAGAGAACAATCGTTGCGCGCGGGAGCTACTATAGGTATATCAAATGGCCATGAGGCTCGAACAGCCGGCGATGAAGAATCCAAAAAGATTTTGTCTCCGAACTCCTGACTTGATTTGCGTCCTAATCCTGATATGTATTGTGTGCCCTTCAACGTAGCTACTTCTTCCTTTGGTCTTAGTCCATATTTGTCTAGTGCCTTTGTATTCGATGTTTTTTACAATTTATTCCGCATATACGCAAATTGGTTTTCTATTTCACTGCCTTTCATTTCTTTTAATTCTCATTTTATTTCTCATTTCCTACACCATATCTAAAAAAACTCACCTTTCGTCATAGTATAGGCAAAACAACTTATAGTGCCGTCATAGAACCATCATAGTTCTTCATTTCATTCTTTACCATTACATCACTCATTCCTACATCCCTCCCCAGACGCCCTCATTCCTACATCCTGCCCTAATCTCCCACCCCTGCCATTACGGCCCCCGCATCGTCGCGTTATCGACATTCATCGTAACGAGATTATGATGCCCAATTACCGTCCTTCATTACCTTAATTACCCTAAGTAGCGACGCGCGCGACTGGTATAATTACCATCGTATTCAAGGCTCAAACCTCAGAATTTATCACAGGCCTGGAAGTTATCTCAAGTCTAATCCCGTAGGCTCGGCTCGTTGTCGTGACTGCGATCCTAAACCTCGGACGCCCGTTTATTTTCATCTTAACTGCCGAAGAAGAACACAAAAGCTTCATAGTCCTCTAATTCGCTTCATAGCGCAGTGTCGGAATTATTTAGTAATTTGGCCTCATAAAGTTTATGCACAATTTTCGGATCAGGAATATTTAGGCGTGTTAATAAGAGGTTTCGTGAGAATATTAATAAGAAAGGAAAATACAAAGTGCTGACAAGTGTGAAGAATTGCTTTGATTTTAAATTATTGACGTTTAATCTTAAATTGTTCCCCATACCTCAGCACTCGCAACTTTGAGAATAATGGCATCGCATAGAATGCACTTCCCATACCGAGACTATTTGAGTCGAAAAAAAAAACAATTCGAAAAAATTAACTCAATTTGATCTTCATTTACCATGCAAAAATTTCTCGCAACAAATTTGGAGAGATTTGTTCCTATTGAATAATAAACTAACAGTGCTACGATAACAGTGAGACTCGGTATCAAGTTTACGCAGCAACGCTTCTTCCGTCGCGACTGAAACGCAATCTGAAAAATTTCGAGCAGCTGCACGCGAGTTTTGAAGTTCGCTGGACATTCTGGGAAGTGAATCAAGATGCCACGCACGAGATGTGAAGAATCGTGTTCAGGAACTCTGGACACCTCATCTCCCTCGTCTTCAGAAGTCGACCGTTAGATGCACAAAAGCAGGCGAGACTACAATAAAATTCTCAAGCAGCTCCAGTCACTTAAAGATGAAAGGATTCTTCAGGAAGAGGAATGCGAGAACTTGACTTGTGCGCTTGAAAAGGAACTCAATAGAAAACGTGAGATTAAGTAGAAATTGCATGAAGTTCAGTAAGACCTCATTGAAGTTCGGCAGAAAACGAAATGTCTTCAAGCTAAAGCTGAAGAAGAAATGCAGTCAGCGTAATCAAATCTGGAGAAATGCGCAGATCAAAACAAAAGGCTAGCAGCTGAGGTGGCCAAGGACAAGCAAACGTTACATGATCTTCAAGCCGAGCTCAGAATAGAAATTTCCAACGCTAAGTTACTGGAAGAGAAAAGAAGCTGCTTGTAAAGACGGAACAAAAAGCTGCGTGGGTCGCTGGAAAATGAAAACGGTGTTTTATTGGAAACCAAAGAGACCCTCGAGCGTCTCCGGGCGCAGGCACAAAAACAAGACGAATTGTTGACGGCCGCGAAGCAAAAACTTACGGAAGCCGAGCTTGAGAAATTAAATGTGGACCAGCAAGCAAAAGAAAGTGAGGAGAAGCTGTCCTGCTTGCGTGCCCAGTGCGACCAAATCGCCGCCCGTAAATGCAAAGCTCAAGAAGCGCTGTTCAGCGCCAAATACCGCCACAGGACTGTCGTCAAAGGGCTCCAGGACTACCAAGCGATCTTGACCAGGAAGCGTCGTGAGCTGAAGTTACTGAAGCAGCAAACAAGTGAACGTGAGGCCGAGATTCGTCGGCTGCAGAGCAAGCAGCTCGCTTGTTATGTTTGCGACGCGCCTCTCGCCCCTGCCTCGGCGCTGTGATGTCCTCAAGTTTTGATGTGAAGGCTGCCGTCTCGAAACTTCTGATGGATCTTGACTTTTGTGCAGTGATGATCAATAACTATTGTATTTGAAAAATGAAAGTATGTTTCGTGCCGATATTCTAAATCGTTAAATTTAAAAAAGTGCATTAGATATTTTGAACAAATTAATTTATTTTAGCTTACTTTAGTTCTGAAAAATACTATAAAAACAAAGTGCTAACTTTAAGAAACTCCTCAATTTTGTAAACTCTTTTATTATTTTCTGGAGATTTATGATGCAAAAATATAACGGAAAGATTTTATTTTCAATTGATTATTGTACATTCTAAGTTAAACCTAAAAAGATAGTTTGTCGTTGCTAAATTTGAGTGTTTGCAGATTATAACCCGCCATCTTCTCAAAGTTGTGTTCGATAGGTCGAATCGCGGCAGTTTTCCGGGCTCAATTCAACTGTTTTTTTTACCAAATCCTAATATTTTTGGAACTCAATATTTTAAGATAATGTTTCGTATGGGATTGAAATATTTTGAAATTTAATGAATTTTTGTATGCCAACATTTTTGGTCTTATTTTAGAATATTTGAAGCAATCTTGAAGTCAATAATTTTGTGTACCAATCTAATTTCATTATATTGTACTCAATAAACTGTTTTTTTATTTATTTTTTTCTATTAACTATTTAAGTAAAAGAACAAACCGATGTCACGTTTACACAAACCAATTGATTGGGCATCATACCTCGCGAGTGGACAGCGAACTTTGTTAGTGAGATCAGCCATTGAGCTGAGCGCTGGTGCCGCCTTGTGAGACCTGGGACTGACAAGCCTTCAAATGTAAAATGCAAGCTTAAATTTGTCTTTTTAAAGTGCAAGCAAATTTCTGGCTTTTGAGCATCTCCTTTGATGTTCTGTATGTATGCAAATGAATCCTGGTGCTGATGTGATTCTTTCACCCGAAGCCTGAGCCGTGAAAACAAAATCATGTTTCAAAATAACTCGACGCAACACTATCTCAAAACCAAATATGTTTGGAACAATATACGCAACACTATCTCAAAACAAATTATGTTTGGAACAATATACGCAACATTATCTCAAAACAAATCATGTTTGGAACCACATACGCAACACTATCTTATCTCAAAACAAAACATGTTTGGAACAACCATACGCAAGAAGAGGAGCGAGAAAAATCTCAAAACAATAACATATTTGGAAGAACTATACGCAACACTATATCAAAACAATAAGTCTCAGGAAAACTCGCCGCAACATGATTCCAAAAGATTTTATCTCTGTCCAATTCTTAGATCAACTTTAATATTTTTCAGTTTTTCATACGTCGGCAGGGATGAACTTATTCAGTCGAGGATGAAATGTAAAGACATCATTTGCTTTGTGCTCATAGAATATGATCCTCTAGAAGCTTCCAAAAGAATTTCATTGTGTTTTCTCGAGTGTTTCTTGGACGATGTTTTAGATGCGCCAAGTTTCCAGCCCAAGGATGGTGAATTATTGTCGTAAAAAGTTTAATGGAAGACCACGGACTTGACGGTCTGCAAGTTGGTGCATGTGGGGCCCAATTGTCCGCCATAATGTGCACTCTGGCGAAATATGATGGCCGCCCAGCGTCCGTGGGAGGACAACCTAAAATAAATCCTCGGAAATGCGGATAGCTTGCGCCATCTCGGGACCATCGTGCTCCATATTATTGAAACTCAGGGAGCACCCATGTTATGTTCCCTGGAAAACTGGAGGGAAAGACAAATATATTATGTAAATTGAATCATCATGAATAATTTTATCTTCTCTACTCGGGAAGCGGCAAAGAAAAAATCATGTCAGATTTTTGTGTCTCGGACCAACCATGATCGGAAATTTCGACTCTCCAGCGACCGAGCAATCGCCCTATCAATGACTGCTAAGATAATAATGAGATAAGTAATCTACTATTATATATTTGTTACTATAATATGTTTGTTTTTAATCTGAGATGATTTGCTAAATGAGCGGATGAGGTTGACCATGATTAAATAGGCCATTCTAATCTTGCAAAACTGCCCGAATTGCACGGCGTTGTTTGATCGCTGCGACGTGTTACTTCGCCACCGCAGACATGCGAATGTTACAAGAGACATGTTAGCTACTTGCTCATTGCTCAATGTTACAGCAGATACGTTAGTAACGTACTCACTGCTCAATGCTACAGGAGATATGTCAGTAACGCGCTCACTGCTCAATGTTACAGGAGATATGGTAGTTACGTGCTCGCTGCTCAATGTTACTGGAGATATAGAATAGAATAGAATAGAATAGAATAGAAGTGTCGGCGTTGAAGAAATAGGCCCATGGCCTGTTGCCGATTCTTGAACTTTTCGTGACTTGATTCACAAGGGATCCGGCCTTTGGAACCCGATCTTTCCATAACTAGAATAG